TGCTCAAAGTCACTAGTTATCAGTGAGATGCAAATCAGAACAACAATGTGGTACCATCTCACACCTGTCAGAATGGCCAACATCAACAAGTCAACAAACAAGTGCTGGCGAGGTTGCGGAGAAAAAGGAACTCTCGTGCACTGCTGGTGGGAATGCAGACTGGTGCAGCCACTGTGGAGAACAATATGGAGTTTCCTCAAAAAACTAAAAATGAACTCTCATTTGACCAAAGATCCCTGAAATATATACCAAGAAATTAGAAACACGAATCAGAAAGGATATATGCACCCCTATGTTCATAGTAGCACAATTTACCATAGTTAAGATTTGGAAATGGCCTAAGTGCCCATCAACAGATGAGTGGATTAAAAAACTGTGGAACATCTACACAATGTAATACTACGCTGCAGTAAAAAAGGAGTTCTTACCATTTGTAACAGCATAGATGGAACTGGAGAGCATTATGCTAATTATGTTTATTTTGAAATAAACCAGTCAGAGAAAGATAAATACCACATGATCTCACTCATTTGTGGAATATAGTGAACAACGTAAACTGATGAAGAGAGACAGATCCAGAGGCAGAGAAGCATCCATCAGACTGCCAAACCTCAGAGGGAAGGTAGGGGAAAGGAGGAGAGATCAACCAAAGGACTTATATGAATATAAGCCTAACCAATGGACACAAACACCAGGGGGTGAGGGAATGAGTGTGTGTGTGGGGGGGTAATGGAGGGATGAGGGCACATATGTAATACTTTAATCTATAAAGAAATTAAAAAAAAATAGTGACTCTGAGCACACCATGCAGGTTGAGGCTTTTCATTCTAATAATCCTGACAGCTTGTAGGCTGGCCTCCCTGTAAGTTTAGGGAGCTGATGACCTAGCACCTCACCACAGGGCCCTGCTGGGACACTGCGCCTCTGGTCTTAGCCGTCCCCAGCCCTCACCCGAAGAAGCACAGACAGGCTTAAACCCAGTGCCTTCCTCTTTTTAAAGGAATCCTCATGAAGGTGTGAGAGAGAAAGAAATATCAATGAGAGAGTGATTTCTATTGGCTGCCTCCTGCACACCCCCTGTTGGGGATCAAACATAATGTAATACTACGCTGCAGTAAAAAAGGAGTTCTTACCATTTGTAACAGCATAGATGGAACTGGAGAGCATGTGCCCTGACTGGAAATTGAAGTGGGGACCTCTTGGTTCATGGGTTGATGGTCAGCCACTGAGTCATACTGGTCAGATACCATGTCTGTTTGACACTGAATTCATGTTACCTGTCTGGGGACACAGAGTACTCCGTGAGGCTCAGGCCCTGGCTCTTACCACTCGGAACCTCAGCAGCATCACTCCTCTCCATGACATTAGACCATACTGCCTCCTCCTCCCACGGGATCCTGACCCAGACCTAGTCACCTTCCCATGCTTTCCAGCCTCTTAGTATGACCTGACCCAGTTAACTTCCAGGTGACACCTACCCTTCCTTACAACTCATCACTGTTACTGTCTCCAGTGGCTAGGACCCCGTGTAGTTCACGGCCTTCCCTCTCCTAAGCTGCTCTCCTCCTTAAGTAGTAAATCTCCGCATCCTACACCATACCCTCCGTAATGCTTTCTTCAGAACTTTCCCCCCCCTTTTTCTTTTAATCCTCACCCAAGGACATGTTCTCATTGAATCAAAGAAAGAGGAAGGGGGAGGAATAGAGGAAGGTCGATTGGTTGCCTCCCATACCCACCCCCACTGGGAATTTAATCTCTGTGACCCTGCTGTGCACAGTGCAATGCTCCAACCAGCTGAGCCCCAGCTGCAAACTCGGACCCTTAGTCCTGAGTTCTGGACTTGAGACGAAGGTAGCACCGCACGGTTTGCTGGGTCAGCCCCACACAAAGCACTTGGGACGATGCTTCCTGCCGGAGTCCAGGGACCCTCCGGAAAGGCACGCGGCTGTGGCAGAGCCTGGCTGACGCTCACCACGTGCTGTTAAGTGTTGGTTGTTGAGTGGTTATAATGCTGGGAAGCCAGGTGTCCCATGATGAAGCATTTGCCTTCTGGGGTTTGATCTGCACTCAAATGGATTTTTGGTTGAGAGAAAAATCTTATTTTAACTTTTCAGGTTTTTAAAAAAATCAATGATGTTGATTTTATTTGCTTTTGGAAGCAAATGTATCTTTTATGAATCTTCAGTGGGTAAACACACACCTTCAAAGGATGTTCTTTTAATAAACACAGGATTTTTTTTTATATAAAATGACATTTTTGTAGAAGGAAGTCTTTTTTTCATAGCTCATGTGTAACCATAGTTACTAAAATTGTTTGGTTGCTATGAAAATACAAACCTAAGCATTGACCTAACTACTGCAACTTTTATGACTTGGTATAAAAATTTGGCAAAGTAAACTTCTTTTATGGAACTGTTAGTCATTAGAATTGAACCCTGTAACATCAGCTTGAGGCAAACAGGTTGGATTAAGCCTACCTAATAAAAGAGTAATATGCAAATTAACCATCACTCTGCTCAAGCCCCACCCACCAGCCATGCCCACCAGCCAATCAGAGCGAGTATGCAAATTAATCCCAACCAAGATGGGTGCAGTCACAGAGAGCAGTTAAGAGGCTTGGGTTTCCTGGCAATAGAGGAAGCCAAGCTTTCCACACACCCTGCTGGCCTAGGCCTCCACTCAAGACTACAAAGATTCAATTATAGAAGGTAAACAAATTCAAACAGAAATGGCTGCTGGCCACAGAGCGAGCAGGAGGCGTGGCTCCACTCCAGGCTACAAAGTTTCAATTGTAGAAGGTAAATAAATTGCAGATACCAGGGTCTCTGCTTAGATTGCCAGGGGGCATGGCTAGCCTGCAAATCACCACAGGCCCCTAGCCTAGGCCTCCCCATATCCCAAGGGAACCCCCACCTGATCCGGCACACCCTTCAGAGCAAACCAGCTGGCCCCACCCATGTCCAGGCCTCTATGCTATCTAATAAAAGAGTAATATGCAGATTGACCATCATTCTAACACTCAAGATGTCTGCCCCCATGTGGTCAAAGATCCTGCCCCCATGTGGACACAAGATGGCTGCCACAAGATAGCCAGCCACAAGTTGGGAGGCACCAGGTCTGCAAAGAGGGCAGGGGAGGGCAGTTAGGGGTGGCCAGGCTAGCAGAGGAGGGAAGTTGGGGGCAAACAGGTTGACAGGGGAGCAGTTAGATATCAATCAGACTGGCATGGGAATAGTTAGGGGGTGATCAGGCTGGCAGGCAGAAGTAGTTAGAGGCAACCAGGAAGGCAGGCAGGTGAGCAGTTGGGAGCCAGCAGTCTTGGATTGTGAGAGGGCAGTTGGACATCCCTCAAGGGGTCCCAGATTGGAGAGGGTGCAGGCTGGGCTGAGGGACACCCCCTACTCTGTGCAGAAATTTCATGCACCGGGTCTCCAGTTATATGATAATTTGCAAAGGGAGTTGAGAAGTCAGCGTGTAAGGCAAGCATGTCAAACATAAAGACTAACATGGGCCAAATAAATGAGGCATGAGACCTGCTTGGCATAAGGGCGCTTTCTTTGTGAATTAGACTCTTAAGGTCAAAGTCTCTGAGAAAGAAAGACATTGTTTGCTAGCATTTTCTTGTCACTTCAGAGAAATAAAAGAAAAATGGCATGTATGGCATATCTGATTCTTCACAGAATTTGAAGTTTTGGCATTTTCATTTGTAACTGGGTGGTGGGGTGCTGGGTTAGGGGTTCCCAACAGGATGGGCCTAAGGTGGTGGGTGGAGCTTCAACCAAATGGTCTGCAAAGCCTGTGAGCTGCTCCCGAATCCCTGGAAACCGCCTCCACGGGATGTCTTTCTGGCCGCAGTGTCCACATTAGACCAGGTCCTGCAATAAATGGGAACTGCCGAGGGCAAGAACATGACTGTGGCGGTGTCATCTGGGGAGCACGGGGTCTCCTGTGCAGCCCAGGAGTGTCAGCACGTGCTGCTGGGCACAACATTGGTAAACACGGTGGAAAGGGGGTTCTTTAGAACTCACTGCTTCTAGGCTCCTCACGAGTGCACAGTGGATGGGACTTGGGAGCAGTGTCTCTGTGACCGTTCAGTTTCCCTGGTTCCTGGGTCATTCCAGGGATGCATGGCCCTGGCCACGCTCAGACCATGGGTCACAGACGTGGACACAGCCCCCAGACAGAAGGCCACAGTGATGGGGGAGTGCAGGGACAGCAGGGGGACTGGCGTCCTGTGTGCACAGTAGACACTATGTGGACGGAGAAGCGTGTTGTACGCTGGTTGTGAAGCAGCTGACACAATATCGAGAGACATACTCTGACACGGCCCCCACGGGTGGGTCTGACACACAGAAGCTTTTGTCAGGCGATGCCAGTGGATGAGGGTAGCTGGTGGCCTCCCTTCTCCCCGGGGTCTGGCTGCAGCATGGCCGTGAAGAAATGACTCTCCCCATTGTTCCCAGTTGTCCCCCCTGACACAGGGACTTCCTTTCCTCCCCCTGACCCTGCCCCAGCACATCCAGGGCCCCTGTTTGTCTCAGGACTCCTCCTCCCTTTCCTGGAGGCGAACCCAGGCCAGAGGGGACAGACCTAAATGTGCAGACCCTGGGCACAGTGGGAAGGAACGTCCAGCCTGAGGGCCACGAAGTGAGCTCTGAGTCAGCGGCGGGAAGCCGCGCAGAGCTGGGCCAGGGCTGTGATCAGTCCTTCCTCCTGGGCAGACGCCAGCGCTGCTGCTCTCCGCGCGGCGTGGCCTGGGCTCGTGTTTCCATGCTCACAGCTCGGATTAGTGCGGAGATGCCGAGTCTCCCAGCATTTATGGGCAGAAGGTGTGCGGGTGGGCGGGCGCGTGTGTGCTGCCGAGAGCGGGCTCCTGGGCGGTCGCCCCCGGACACAGCATTGCCATAAGTAAGATACCTTGAACACAGGCTAATGGGCTTCTCCTCCTTCTCCTCCTCCTCCTCCCCCCCCCCCCCCCCGCCTCGGTCCCCGCCCCACAGAGTGGCTACACGCCCCTGCACCAGGCCGCCCAGCAGGGCCACACGCACATCATCAATGTGCTGCTGCAGCACGGAGCCCGGCCCGATGCCACCACCACGGTAAGGCCCTCCGCACCCTGTCCGTCTGCCACGGCCAATGCCAGGGGAGGGGAGGGACCCTCTGTTAGTGCTGCTGAGTCACCTCCGACTCCTGGGGACTCCGCACAGCCCAGCTGCAGCGTGACCGTGAAGAAATGACTTTCCCCCGTTGTTCCCAGTTGTACCCACGACACAGGGATGGAGGCTCAGCCTGTGGCCCCTCCAGTCCCTCCACCTCCTGCTGCCTCTGCTCCAGCATCGCTGTTTTTTCCAAAGACCCGCTTCCTCACGCAGCGTCCGAAGCAGGCAGCGTCCGTGTGCCGCCTGCCCGCCGTGCCCAGGCTGAGCAGGACAGGGTGGCACAGTCCCACCCCTCCTAAGATGGGCCTGCACCCTCAGGCCCCAGTACAGTGGACGGGGCTCAGGAGCAGGCGTGTTGGGCCCACCCCTTCCTCTGGCTTAGACAGGCTCCTGGGCAAGGGGCCATTGCAATGTAAACTAGGTGGAGTGATTCCCCAGGCATGCGCAGGAGCCTGCTGCTGTGTGGTGTCTGCACAGGGAGTGTGGACTGTGCTCAGGGGCGGCCTGCCCTCCGGTCTGCTGTGCACACAGGACGCCAGTTCCCCTGCTGAGGGAGGCGGGCCCTCAGCCGGGCTGGGTCTGGAGGCTCGCTTTCCCAGCACCAGCCAGCCCCCAGAGCTGACCACCCAGGGGTTAAAGCCGCAAGTGCTTCTCATTAGGAGGAGGGGCAGATGCAGCTTGTTGTGTTTCCATGGTGACCTGATCTCCAGGCTGGAGGAGTTACTAAGACACATTCAGATGTGATGGTGAAAAGAGTGATTTCCTCAGCTGCGCCTGGCCGGACTCCTGGGGCGGTGAGCTCACTGGCTCCATCCAATCTCTCCCTCCTCCCCCCCCCCCCCCCCAGAATGGCAACACGGCCCTGGCCATCGCCAAGCGGCTGGGCTACATCTCTGTGGTGGACACCCTGAAGGTTGTGACGGAGGAGGTCACCACCACCACGACGGTGAGTAAGGGGCCCACGGCCCTGCTTGAGTTCGGCTTTCCCGTCACGCACTCTCCCCTCACCCCATGTCCTGTGTTGCGGTCTCCGCCTCTGGGGGTGCTCCGGGGGTGAATCTGTGCGGCACACTGAGGGCCACATGTGAGTGCACTCACGGCAGCAGCCAGAGCTCCTGAGTCTTGCACATCCATGTGAAGTGTGTAAGTGTGAGTTCACAGGGTCTAGTTTTTCCTGCTCCTCTGTCCTTGTGCTGAGGTTGGGTATGACCCCCGCTGTCTGCCGAGGGGCAGGCCAGTCCCGGCAGACTTCTGAGCGGAGGGGACGCAGCCCCAGGAAGGCCCCGGTCCCTGCGGGGCTCACGGCTGGCCTGAAGGTTCCCCAGGAGAACCATTCCTCCCCACTTCCTCTCGGCCTTTGATTATATTTTGTTCAAAAAGAGTTAGTAGGGAAACGATCTGTGTAGGGAAACAGTAGCTATGTAAAATGCTCACCACCCTCATTGACTGTGAGGGCAGGGTACATGGCCTCTGCCCACAGGGCGGGGGGACACAGAGCAGGGCGAGGGGCCTGGGCCTGGGCCCGGGCCTACGGAGCAGAGCTGGGTGCCCCCCAGGGCTGTTCTCTTTGCATCGATTTGTTGGTGACGTTTCTGAAGCTGCAGACAACAGCTCGGTGACTTATTCGGAAAGTAGACAAGCGAACAGTAGAGCACTGGGCCCCGAGGTAGAGAGGATGCGGTCAAACCTCGGCCATACGTTCACTGAAGGAGGTTCCAGCCACAGCCCAGGCTTAGACGATGGGTCAGGTGGGAAGTCGGAGGAAGGAGTGTGTTCTGGGGGCGGCAGCAGCCCCGGGACACTCAGCAGTGGGTGAACACAGCTGCAGGGGCCCCGTCACGTCGGGGAAATATGGTTTATTCCTGGACATGAAGCCATGTGCACAGACGCAGAGGGTCATGCCACTTGTTTTCTCGGGCAGTTTTAAAGCCTGTGGCCTATGTGGCCAGTATTGTTAAAGATTTTTTAAATCCTCAGCTGAGGATATGTTTTTATTGATTTTAGAGATAGGGGAAGAGAGACAGAGACAGAGATAGAGAGAGAGAGAGAGAGAGAAGAAGAGGAAGAGGAAGAGGAGGAGGAGGAGGAGGAGGAGGAGGAAAAGAGAATATATATCATGGATATGAGAGAGATTGATCAGTTGCCTCCCCTACTAGTATACACCCTGACCAGGGACAAACCTACAATCTATGTGCCGTGCCTGGGAATCAAACCCACAGCCTTTTGGTGACTGGAAGATGCTCCAACTAACGGAGCTACCCAGCCGGGCTGTTTTTAGACATTCAAAGTGAAGTTTCTTTAAGAACTTATGTAGGAGAATCACAGTAACCCCGAGTCACCCGAGAGGCTGAGTCTTGGTGGCGTCCTCTTGCTCTCTGGTTCCTTAGGGCAGGGGCGTCTCCTCTGCAGCAGGGAGGTTTGTGTCCTATTTAGTGTCTTTGAAGCTCCATGTTCATCGCAGGTGGCCACGACCTGGGTTCTTACACTCCTGTGCACTGGGTCGTGTGTGTGCGTCTTTATCAGGTTCCCCCTAGGGGCCGCTTGCATCCTTTTTGTATCTTTTTTTCCTCTTCCATTCACCTCATTAATCCACCTGAAGGGTTTCTGGGTAGAAACAAGTGCGGAGGAGTGGTCAGCAGTGAAAACATCACCCCCATCTCCCAGCACAGCTCCCGGTGGTATCCGAAGGGTGGCACATCGGTTCTATGAGAGAACAATTCTTCTGTAGCACAACAAAACTGTAGGTCAGACATGTCCACCGTCAGAGATGGCAGGCTCTACGTGTCACTTAGAGCAAAGGACCCAAACTACACAGGCCACGTTTATCGAGAGGGCAGTCAGCTTTCTAAACTCTGGCCACACAGGCTCTCAGACACCCAGTGAGCCAGCCACACAGCTAGTCCCCACCCCTCGCTCTGTGGGCACTCAGATCCCCTGTGAACCGATCGACAGCCAGGGCCCCATACCCAGGTCGGGGCTCTCAGATCCCCAGTGAGCCAGGCAGACTGTATTCCCCACACCCAGCTCGGGGAGCTCAGCACCCTGTGAGCCAGACACACAGCCAGTCCCACCCCCAGCTCCGAGGCACCAAGGCCTCAGCACTCTGTGGCTGTGTTTCTCCTCTGTAACTGCTGTTCTCACGCTGCCGAGCTGAGCGCTGCCCCATCAAACCACCGGACCCTCCAGGTGAGAAGCCAGCTGACAAATACTAGGTTCCTGGCATGCGCTCCAGTAAGAAGCCAAGGCCTGCACCAGCGGTGGTCAGCGAGGGGCAGCAGACCAGTGGGGAAGGATCTCCCTGCCGAGTGGTCTAATGCAGGGGTTGCCAACCAATGGTCTGCAGACCACTGTGGTCCATGGGGCCCGAAAGGTTGATAACTGCTGGCCTAACGTGCCTGCCTTTATTCTCCTCTCACAGTCCGTTCTTCTCTCATGGCTGTGAGTTTTACTGTTTTCTGAAACGGTTCTGGGGCTAAGAATTGAAAAGTGAACTTACTCCTTTCTGTTACTCGAGTTTTGCGAGTCAGCTCCTGCGGAAGAGATTTCACTCTCTTCTCCGCACAGCGCGGCAGTGTCATTGATGATGCGAACACAGAACAGAGCTCAGGAATTGCGGGGGTGCATATAGGGTTCAAATTGAGTTTGTCAGATTCCAAAGCCCATGCTCTTAACCCTCCTGCATAACAGAGCTTGGCTTTGCTAAAAGTAGTTCAGCAGGAATTTTGTGAAAGAAAGCTTTTCACCTCATTTTCAATTTAAGAAAAGCCCTCTTACCTGGCCCCTTTGGTTATGTTCATGGAAGATTATTTTCAGTATCATTTCCTAAAGTCCACAAACTCACTAAAATAACAGCCATTCACTGACAGGCAAATAGCATAAGACAATTTCATAAATTACGTAAAATAAACAAAATTAAGTTTTACGCTGTCACCTCTTAAATGGAGTAGTTGAATGATGGCTATACAGCGACTACACACATCACACATTGGATTCATAGGATGTCCCTGGAGCAGCCACGCGGGTTTCTGAGCTGCTTTCCTCCGAGGTCTTTGCCCAAAGCCCTTGTGCGGGGAGAGGCGTCGGCAGCCGCTGGTGAAGGGAAAGTTGCGGCTGCACATGCTTCGGAGGCGTTGGAATCATGGCTGTTTCTCTCACCTTTGCTCCATGAGACGCCGAGGGGCAGGGACAGCGCCCCAGGAGGGTCACTGTGCAGGAAGGGGCATCGGGACCAAGGGCCCTGTGTCTGGCAGTGGAGCAGGAGGCAATCTCCTGAGGTGGCTGGTAGAACCCTGAGATGAGACCCAGGCAGCCACCGAGGAACATCTGTCAACTCTGTGTCATTTGCATAATTTTAAAGTGACCCACCCTCTTTTATGCTGTGTATAACCATTGATAGAGCCTAAAGAATGGAATAAGCCACCACCATGAAATAGCATTGTGTTGTCCTTTAAATATTGGGGAATTCTTTGAAAGCAGTTAAGACGCCAGTATTCCAAGTTCCAGTTCTTCCCTAACAGGATCGCTGCCGCCGATGCCGTGATGCATGCCTCCGCGACAGCTTTTAAGGTGGAGTCAGGCTTTTTGGGGAAGCCAGTCCATTGCCTACAACAGTGTTCGGCAAACTGAGGCTCACGAGCCCCATGTGCTATTTGGCCCCTTGAGTGTTCTAACGCCACTTCTTCAAAATAGACTTGCCCAGGCTGAAAACGGACTTCTGCACATGGGCCACGAAGTTTGCACTGTACATGCGTGCCTTTATGTGTATTTTGTGGAAGAGCCACACTCAAGAGGCCAAAGAGCCGCATGTGGCTTGCGAGCCGCAGTTTGCCAACTACTGGCCTGGAAGGCTCGATGTCTGTCTTACACAAGGAGATCACTCCTGCACTCTGTGCTGTGTGCACTCCGTAACACCCACATCTGTGACATTTACTTGTCCCGTGTCCTATTATCTTAAAGAGACAGTACACTGAGAACAGATCCTTCTAAACTTTTCACATGATTTTTCCAGGTTGATAACATCTATGTAGCGAAGCTTAAAAACAACCTGTTGACTGTATCTCAGTGGCTTTTGGTGAAGTCTACTCTCATTTTGAGAGATTCCTCTTTTTGAAGTTCCAATAATGATGCCAGTTGATGTGTCTGAAACAGCTCCTGGCCCACAGTGGCCGTTCAGCGCTTCCTCGGTGCCTGAGTGACCCTGCTCCGGCTCTTCAGCGTATGACTAACTTAGCACTGAGTTCAGTGAAAGCAGTTCATGCCAGCTGACGTTTACTGAGTACTAACATATGCCAGGTGCTCTTCTTAGAGCTCTTGTAAGTATTATTTTGTTTAATCTTCATTACAACTTGTGAGTAGTAGTATCGCTGTTCACAGATGAAGAAATTGAGGCACAGAAGTAAGGAACTAGCAAGGCCTCAGAGCTAACAATGGGGAAGTTCAAATTGGAGCCACTCACAGGCCAGGGCACGCAGAGAGGACCAGGGTCCCCTGCTCTAGGTCTCTGATCCCAGGAGACATGTTTTCTGCCCAGACAATCTACGTCTTTCCCGTGCTTTACTGTGTCTTCTCCTCTGGCTTGGTTTTTAATAAATTGCGTATGTTCATTGCTCTTTTTTAGGGCTTTCCTGGAGCTGTCACCTAGTTCAGCTCAGGGAGGCCCTGAGCGTGGTGAGCCGCCTGTTCTGTACCGTTGGCCGTTCGTGCCACTGCAAACGAGCTCGCTTTTCAAGTGGGAACTCACAGCAGCGGGCTTTCTCTGGTACAGCCTCACGGGCCCGGGTCTTTTGTCCTTAGGAGGACACGGGTTTTCACGAGAGAAAACTAGAAAAAGAATTTCCAGACAGACGGGCCTTGGGCCGACGCTGAGTCTGGCTCCCCTGGCTCCCGGCGTCTGCTGTTCCAGTTTGTTTTCAAGCATTAATGGTATTTCTCTTTGCAGACTATCACTGAGAAACACAAGCTGAATGTTCCTGAGACCATGACCGAGGTGCTTGACGTTTCTGACGAAGAGGGTAAGGCTTTCTTTGCGTTCTTCTGTGGCATCTGTCCTGGTCCCGCCAGGAAGCTGCCCCATCTTGAGGGACTGAACCGGGCAGTGGGTGTCGGCACTAGCAGATTCACTATGAAGTCATGTGTTCACCTTCGTTTCAATACATTGACTTTTGCCATTTGGGGAAGGAGGATTCCATTAGTGTATTTTCAACTGGTGTTATCCTTCTTGGCTTGTAAGTAGCCGGCCTGGGAAGGGAAAGTCTGGGAACTGGGCCATCTGTTAAAATATCTGCCTATTAGTACAGTTGTTAGCATATGTGGGGGGTTTTGTTTGTTTTGTGTTTTTTAAATATATTTTTATTGATTTTGGAGGGGAAGGGAGAAAGAGAGAGAAATAGAAACACCAACGAGGAAAGAGAATCATTGATTGGCTGCCTCCACATTCATATGTGTGCACCACACTGGGTTTTGTGGGATCATTTTTTTCATTCATATCTTGAACAGCTCTTAAACAGTCTGGTGACCGCGTAATTGATGCGGAAGTACTTAGTGACTCAGGTACCTTCAGAGGAAACTGTTGGAGTGAAAGCTTTTCTTTGCTTTTAATTTTTCTTAACCGCATAGAAGCAACGTGCTTAATATTTAAATCTGGGTGCCTAACACTAACCTGTTCCTTTTGAAACAGCATGTGTAATACAAGTGAGATGGTGTGAGACGGGTGAGGTGGTGTGAGACAGGTGAGATGGTGTGAGACAGGGAGGGGGTGTGAGAAGGGTGAGATGGTGTGAGACAGGGAGGGGGTGTGATGGATGAGAAGGTGTGACATGGGTGAGATGATTGTGTAGTACAGGTGAGATTGTGCACTTGAGTGTGGATTTTACTAACTTGGAAGGTTAAGCCGTGACTTGCTTCTGCTATTAGTGATTTTGCAACTATCATTGAAACTTATTAACATAGTTAAATTATCTAGTGACCACTGTATGAGTATTTTCTCCAAACTAATATTTCTTCTTAGAATGCAAATTTAGAGAAACAGTAAGCCTTTGATAAGTTGGCATTGAGCTAGCAACAACTATAAGTTAGTTTGCTTGAAGTGAATGTAGGTTAAATCATTCTTGGTTGAAGATGTTTTGATGTGGTGAAAGGTATTAGCCTACTAGTACTGTGACCATTCTTAAGGCAGCTAGGATTGGGTTAAATGACCTTCAGACCACCTGTGAAGGGCCACAAAGCACAGTGCGTTCTATACAACAGACCTGCCTTCCCTGTCCCCTCCCTTCCTCATCAACAGAGCAGACTGAGTCTTCCCACATGTTAACTGAGTCTCACACATGTTTTTCTGAAAACAACTTAGGTTCTTTGCTAACCAGACAATGCCTGTATTTAGGTAAGTTAACTCTTAGAATGGATCCTGAAATCTTTTTCTCCCAGAATTAAATGAAAGGGACTCCAATTTATTTGACTTAGAGAAGCACTGCTAGTCATGATTTACACGTTAAGAAGGGGGTAGTGGGACCAATGAGTCTGCAGGCCTGTCCTAAACGTCTGAGCTGCTCGGCCTTGTCACTGCACTCAGACCCCGGCTTCCTTCCTGTGGCCCCCTCGCTCCCTGCATGAGTGTGGACTCTTGCCCAGTTATTCCACACCGCACCCTCAAAGGACCTGTGTTTCTCTTTCACTCACACACTCGCTTCTCACCTGAACCCCCACCACACCTGCCACCAAAGCCACACCCAGACAAGCTTCGTTGAAACCTCCTAAGGCAGTAGTCGGCAAACTGTGGCTCACGAGCCACATGCAGCTCTTTGGCCCCATGAGTGTTGCTCTTCCACAAAATACTGTGTGTGGGCCCACATGTACATGTGATTGAAACTTCGTGGCCCATGCGCAGAAGTCGATTTTCAGCTCTCAAAAGAAATTTCAATCTTTGTACTTGGTATTTGGCTCTATTGACCAATGAGTTTGCTGATCACTGTCCTAAAGGATCACAACAGACCAGCACTGACTTGGTGGCTCATATGTATTCTGTCCCTGCTCTGGGGGCCAGGATCCACGGGGACCCTCACTCCAAGACTTCAAGGAGGGCCCAGCCTGTGTCTCCACGTCAGTGGCTGCAGCGCCCCTGAGCCCTGCTGCCCCGTGTCTGCCTGTCCCCGGCCTCCTCTGAGGACACGCTCAGCGGTTCCTCCGCTCAGATCGCATCTCAGTGCTCACCTATTACACCAACAAAGCCCGTCGCCAAGCCAGCTGCCCTCCCCGAGGCCCCCCTGGGAGCCCTCCTGAAGCAGCCTCGGCCCCCTCAGGCCTTGTGGTTTGCAACGTCAGTGCACATCCTGTGTGTCGGTCCGTGTCAATGTAGGTGGCGATGGGCCGTGTTATGTTTCAGCTTGTTGACGTAGCATCAGCTGTAAATCAGCTGCCAGGACAGGGACATGAGGAAGAACACTAAACACAGAATTACAACCAAGTGGTTTCTTCTTGGTGAGGAGGAGGATGCAGGCCGGATACGGTTTCTCTGTTTTCATGCTCTCCAGTACACATGCTCTGTGTGCCGCTGCTAGGCAGGGTTTCGGGACGGAATGCTGTCCTCACACTCGGCAAGTAATTCTCCCCCCACGTGCTTCCAGGAGACGACACGATGACGGGGGACGGCGGCGAGTACCTGCGGCCCGAGGACCTGAAGGAGCTGGGTGACGACTCGCTGCCCAGCAGCCAGTTCCTGGACGGGCTGAGTTACCTGCGCTACAGCCTGGAGGGCGGGCGCTCCGACAGGTACCAGCACTTGCACAGAGCACCGGCCAGCGGGAGCCCGCACACTGCTGTTGCATGAGGAAAAAGCAGGCTCGGTGCTGCCACTCAGGAGGACATCCCCCTCTTGGCACTAGCGGGTCCTCTGCTTCCTCACGTCAAGAGGGGAACAGGCCTGAAGAGGTTAAATAAGGAGTAATTCAAGCAGCTAGTAAGGAGCAGAGACAGTGCCCTTTAAGTAGAGGTTTTAGTCACCGGCCACTCTCCTCTGGTCCAGGAAAAAGGGCCTCTGAGTCCCCTGGGTGTCAGTGGAGTGCCGTCATTTCTGTGAGCAGAAGCTGTCTGGAGGAAGGATCAAAAGAGACGCATTGAGAGGCAGAGGCGGGACAGAACCCCGCAAGGGCCTGGACACCTCGCGCGCTCTGAGCCGGATCTGGAGGAGCCGGTTTGTAGACAGATCTGGTGGTTTGCTGGACGTTCTGAAATACCAGAGCAGTGCTGTTTTTTGGGCGCTACTATCCTACATCCAGCGGTGGTTAATTTCAGAGTAAGAACTCGGCTCCCCTTCCAAAGTACGGCTGCCGATTTAGGGTGTGCGTGCGGTTGACCCTAGAGTGCGCTCATTAATGTCTTTTGCTCATCAGTCGTCTCAGTTCGCACTTGTCATCCTGGCATTTCTAAGCGGTGGCTGGCATATGTGGAGTCCAGGAAACGGATGCCCTAACGGGGTGCCATTTCTAATGGGTAAAAACGAAGTTTTCTTGGGCTTTTTTCTTGAGCACCAAAACCCACCCCCATTTTCTAAAACAGCTCAGGGTGCCTCTGACCTGCGTCCCCCTGGGCCGGCCTCGCCTGCGCGCTGCAGGTAAAGAAGTGACTAAGAGGCAAATGGCTGAATTCCTAGCCCAGCAGGTGGGAGAGGCCAGCCAGGCTGGGGGTGCCAGGTGGCCCCTGGTGGCAGGAGGGAGGGTAGGGAGGGCTTTGAGGTCTTATCAGAACACAAGGCTTCTGATTGGGGAGAAACAGTGTTCCCCAATGGGTGCTGAGTGTGCACATGAAAGGAGGTGATGCCTGCATGTCGGGGTCCCTCTGACTCAGGACAGGAGATCCATTCTACAGGGTGTTGTCAGGACTCGGCGGGGAGCTGCTGCTGGTTCGAGCTGGTGTGAAGACTGGACTCTGGGGAGTTGGAGACTGGCCAGCCCTGGTGCAGGCTTCAGGGTGGGTGAACAGAGGAAGAAGACAGAGGGTGTCCTGGGCCAGGCTGCCGGAGAGGGTTCTTGGGGGACAGTGACGGGCCATGCTCCATGTGAACTCTGACATGCTGATAGGTGTGGACATCACGCTCTGAGGTTTCTAAAGGGCTTTCGTTTTAACAAAGTGAGTTGTTTATGGCTGTGGGCACATTCTTCATCGTCTGGATAATCATGTTCCCGTCAGCCAGAGGTCTTCCTTTTCAGCTTGGTCTTTTTTATTAAAAATAATTGCTCAAGTGGATCCCTGTCCTCTGGAAGGACTCGGTTTTCTTGAGAAGGAAAGTAGAGCGATGCTTTCTATAAAGCAGAGCACGAAGGCTGGCCGATCCTGCTCAGACTGACCTTGATCAGGCTGGTCTGGTCTCAGCTGCAGTTGCTTTTCCAGAGCACGAGGCCGCCACCTGCTGTCTCAGTTGGAACTGCAGGCAGTGGCTCCCGTTCCTGGTTGTTCTGAATGTTTCTTTGTTCTGCTTATATAATTCAATTTGTTACCTTGTCGGTAACCATTTTACCTTCTCGTTGTTTTTCTATTTGGTGTGCCTTCAATAGTGCCGTGCCCAGGTAGGTGCCTGTGGTCTGGCAGCCTAGCCCTCCCAGCCCATCCATTTCCCTGCTCCCTGCTCAACATGCTTGTGTGTGCTGTGTTCACAGGGGCGCTTCCATTCTAGAATCATGGATGTATTCTATAATTAGGGTTTTTATGTATTAAATTGAGTGATTACCTGGGCTGGAAGGTACATATGTTAATAGAATGAAAACTAGAACAAGCTTGGCATGAATTCACCTGTTACAGCGCCCCCCTGTGGTTAGAAGCAGTAGAGCGGCTCCCAGCAAGGAACCTAATTATCCCATGTGCAGTGGAAGATGATGGAAAATTGTTGTGACGCCTAACGCATATGTGGGAGCACAGAAGATTAAAAATAGATACACAGTTCTGAGGCGCGGCCAATAAGAACACAGTCGTTGACTGGGTTTTGCTTCCATTTTATTTTATTAGTGCTTCACACTGAAAATGCTATCCAGATTCAGTGTAAAACACTGCCCAGCAGTGAGCCCCGGCAGCTTCTCCCTGGGTGAGAGCAAGCACATGCACATTTTCCAATATCTGCTGCTTCAGTGAGGCTGGAGGACACCAGGTCCTGGATGTCTAAGAAATATCAGTCATCACTGCAGATCTCAGTGAACTTAATGGACTTGGATACAACCAATGTGTGTCTACAGCAGCGTACCAGAGTGAAGTATGCCTTTTAGGTCATAACAAGCCTTCAGCACGTCTTAGCTGGCCCACAGGTGGGACTGTTCACTCCTGTGATTCATAGTCTTGGAAACTCATCCAGTGAAGAGGGGCCTCTGCCTTAATGCCAGAACAACGGCCACCTCTTGCAGAACATTTTTACTGGTTTGTAATGTTTCCAGTCCGATGAAGAGTTTCTGGGCCAAAGATGTGAATTATTCTAGACTCCTGTGCTGGTCATTTTTCCTTCAGAGAGAATAAATTCTCTGCTATTGGAATACTTAATTTCACTTCAATATATCTGTAACAAATCGAACAAAAGAGCAATTGGAAGCCATAAGCATTGCCTAAATAACTAATTAGCACTGTAGGATGCAGAGTGAGCTAGAATAAAGTTCCACAGGTAGAGACATGTAGATAGATGGTTACAGTGAATTCATTCTCCTTCTAACTGTTCCCCTTCTGTCTACATGCCCCAATCTCTTCTTGTGGTTGTGTTACCTCGTCTCTTCCTTTCCTTCCTTCCCTCTCTCTTTTCCTTTCCTGTTGGGGCTTCAGGAAAGACAGAAAAATAGCACCACACCCCCTCTGCTCCTGAGGTGCACACCAGCAGGGAGACTGACCTGGGTTAGGAAGGTGGGCATGGTGACTGCAGCATGTGGCTTCACATCCTAAGGGCCAATGAGCCCCTTAATTCCTCACCGCTAAGGCAGACGGCCAGACAGACAGCAGTGGTGTGTCCTTGAGAGAGGAACCCAATCCCAGCTGTCACTGGGTCTGATTGAGGCCCGTGTTTTACCGTGCGGTCTGCTCCTATCCCCACTGACCTGTTGCCACTGTCCCAGGGTTGCATGTCAGGGCCAGTTCTACCTGCTGGTGGTGTGTCCGCCAGCTGTGAGGAGCAGGCTTCTGCCCTGCACCTGGGGCTCCTCGCCTTCATAAATCTATTCCTTTAACCATGGAAGTCAGCGTCTGGGTCTTTGCATTCCAAAGCCGTGGAAAGAGACGATGAATGAACAGATCAGAGCCCCTGGTGCCCAGGGGGCTGGTGCAGCACAGGGACGGCCCTGGCATTTCAGGAGGCTGCCCGGCGTGCTATCTTTCCCTTGGCCCACTTCTCATCAGAGCAAGGAGAGTTGAATGCAAAGCTTAAGTAATCTTTGCAGTTTAAAGCCGGGGGTGGGGGGGTGTGGGGGCGAGAAGTTATTAAATTCCTTAAAGGAGACAAGATTGGCTGAAATGAAAGACCCTTCCCCCCTCCCCCCCATAATTTAACCCCATCCCCTAATTCAAGGCCAGGCCAAGGTCACTCACAGTGCCCTTCACCCCATTATGGAAAGTGCATTGTTGAAATCCAAGGCACACCTATAAATGGGCTGCCCTGCCTCCAGGACAGACCCCCAGTGGCCCCGTAATGCCCCTGCTTCCCTGGGCTGAGACTAGACCCTCTGTCTTCGCCAGGAGCCTGGGAAGCAGCGAGAGTGACCTCCCATGCTAGGCTTAGGTTCTATCTGATCAGAAACATGCAGTCCGCGTAGGTGTGAGTGTCACACCTGCAATACTCGAGGCATGAAGCCTGGAGCAGGGCAGGGGAGAAGGCCTCGCACCACACCACACCGCACGCACTGCCTCCCAGCAAGTTTCTCAGACAGCAGGCTGGCTCAGCTGGCACTCATAAAGTCACAGCGTGTGGCTTACAAAATTAGCTATAGTTGCAAAATGAGAACAGTTGCTGCTGATAAATGGCCCAGTTAGTTCATAATTCCACATGCCTCAGGCCACATCTGCTGGCTGGAGGGATGCACACCTTGGTTGCTGTAGATGCCTTGGGACCATAGCTCAGTCCCTGTGGGCTTTGGCTGTTGTTTTGAGTGTAGATCTTTAAACTTGGGCTAACATGCATAAAATACAGCTCACTGCAGTGTACACGTGGGCTGGGAAGGAATTAATTTCATCTATGAGAATGTCAATGTTCACTCATCACATCTGAGCGTATAGCTCAGAGCATTGACATGCAGATCGCACAGAAGGTGAAGCCCTAGCTGGCCACGCCTGAGCCCGTGTGAAGCAGCCTCCCCCAGTCCTCCGCTCGGCAGTTGCTTTGTGCTGGCTGACGTGTCTAGGTCTGGTCAGTGCTTAGAGACGCTTTCTGTGTGCCTGTGTCATCGCCACAGCGTTGCACTCAGCACAGGACACGGAGGCAGTGCTGGCCTCTGACGTGGCCGTGGGGACATGCTCGGGCTGCTTCCTCGGGAAGTCTGCATGCGGCTGGTTCCGTTCCTGCCTCCCAGGGTTCCCAGCCCTCAGGGTCACCGCTGTGGTCAGGGCGAGTGAGGGCACATGGAAACCTGCCTGTCACCCTGTTCTCGCCACCGGCTGACTGTTTCCTAATATTTCCTAGTTGCAGGGAGATGAACATTTGGCTCAGATGTTAGAAAGCAGCCCTGGAGTTATTTTCTGGGTGAATTTCTTGTACCAGCAGCTAGTGAATGCCAGTTGTGGGCCTCAAACCTTTGTGGGGCGAGCAGGAGTCAGATTAGGAGTGTCAGATTCTACCTCCTGGTTCCCTGGGGCCCCTGCCATTGGGTGGCAGAGCCAGGCAGGGGTGTGTTCCTGAGGGGTGAGGGGCCCGGTGGCACATAGCCCGCGCCTGTCCCCGTAAGGTCCCGGCAGCTAACTGCACGCTCTCTTCGCTCTCCTGCTCGGCTCGCCATGCCCTCCTCCCCGCCCTGCCCCACTGTGGGTGCGTGACCACGGCCTCTGCTCACCTGCCAGCCTCCGGTCCTTCAGTTCCGACAGGTCGCACACCCTGAGCCACGCCTCCTACCTGAGGGATAGCGCCATGATCGACGACACCGTTGTGATCCCCAGCCACCAGGTACGTGAGTGCAGGCCACTTGTTCCCTCGGCTGGACATGTCCAGAGAAAGCCTTTTCTTCCAAAAAAAAAAAAAAAAGAAAGAAATCAAATGAATTAGTTAATGAGCCAGAAGAGAGTTGAGTGTTTTTTCTAAAACATGGAGAATGTTCTCTAGATTTCTCAATAGCAGAGTTTTTCTGAAACAATGTACTGCTTGTCTCTCTGGCTATTGCGTGCCTCTGAGGAGATTAATCGTGAAGACCGACTCCTCCAGAAGTCCCTGTTGTAGGGATGGTGTGGGAGGTGCGTCCGAGGTCGGAGACGAAAGGTGCGGCTACCTGCATCTCTCCACGCTAGATGATTATCTGGAGAAAGGGTAGTTTACTAGGACATCTTGGCGTTGGGTAGGATGTTATAGTTAGGGCGGGCTGGATACACCGACACCCACCCTCTTCAAAGACAATGACAGTGATCTAACATCAATAACGCCATCTAAGCGGGATGTGTTCCCAGCATACCTCCCTCACATTTTAAAGGGGCTTTTCCAGGCAGTGCCACTGGCTGAGGCGCCCCTTTCAGAGGCGGGTACATTGTCATCACAGCGGAGGGGGAGAGCCGTGTCCCTGAGCCGTGTCCTTTGTGTGCAGGTGTCGGCGCTCGCCAAGGAGGCGGAGAGGAACTCGTACCGCCTCAGCTGGGGCCCCGAGCACCTGGACAATGTGGCCCTTTCTTCCAGCCCCATCCACTCAGGGTGAGTCTGGTGTCGTGTGTCCAGATCAGGGGCAGGGACGAGTGGACAGCAGCAGCTTTGTCCAGGGACTGTAGCTGGAGGCCAGCTCACAAGGGACGTGACCTTCGTTTAAGCTTGTAAATAACACAGCTTTGTCCACCGTGGACCCCGTCTTCGTGGACAAACCAGCAAAAAGGGTTGAATTCCACATAGAAAAGCTGATGTTTCAAAATAACCGGTAGCATTGTGTCAGACAGCTCGCTCACTAACCAGCAGCTGCTGGGCATCCTGGCTTTCAGAGGTCTTGAAAGGAAGGGCAGGAGTATTTGCTTTCTGGACAGTTTTATTTACTGAGTGAACAGACAGGGAACAGAGACCTCTCCCCCGTATGAGCGCACTGAAAGCGATGTGCCCGGGAGCTGGAGGCGCACAGAAGGAGGAGGAGTCCTGTGCAGGTGGCAGTAGGGATACTAGAGGGCACCCATGAGTTCAGTCACCTGCCCAGGGCCAGCAACCACTGAGAAATGCCACCTTTTGTATCAGCTCACTAAAACCTGGGGCTTTGAGTTGTGATTGTAAACATATAGAAAGATCTCCTGAAGGCATAAGAATTCAGTTATGTGGACCATAAATTCTGTAAGGAATTTTATTTATTTATTTATTTATTTATTTATTTAAAATATATTTTATTGATTTTTTTTACAGAGAGGAAGGGAGAGAGATAGCTAGAAACGTCGATGAGAGAGAAACATCGACCAGCTGCCTCTTGCACACCCCCTACTGGGGATGTGCCCGCAACCCAGGTACATGCCCTTGGCCGGAATCGAACCTGGGATCTTTCAGTCCGCAGACCGACGCTCTACCACTGAGCCAAACAGTTTCGGCCTGGAAGGAGTTTTAAATAGTAACTTCGCAGTTGGATTTTCCCTCTCGTTCTGTTACTTTTATTCACCTAGTAATTTCATAATTATATGTAAACTCTTAAAATATTTGCTCATTTAACCACTTTTAAAAGCCTCACCCATATGTTATCTAACCAAATAAAATATTTTGGCTAAAGGATTCCAAATTCCTTATCCGTAATGCCCGGTACAATTTGAATGGTGGGTCTTACTCGTTGCCACTACTCTGCAATAGTCTCTTGCCAGGAAGGCGTTCTGAGGCATTGTAGTTACAAAGTTTGCATCTCATAGTTGAAGCTTCTAAAGATTCATAGACTATAAAACTAGGTACATAGACATAGAAAATAAGCAAAACACTCTTTTCCTTGTTAAAAAGGCATAAGCAGCTTCCTAATGCAAGATATGCAAGGGAATAAAAGCCAAATTAAACCTCATACCAGTTTACTTACACATTCTAAGTATAAAATGAGATTATCAACATCTGACCTATTAATTATTCAAAAAGCATAACATTACATTCTGCTACCAACTTTCTGAACAACGATGAGAAGAAGGAAGAGTTGGCCCTGGAATGGGAAGGTGGTAGGTTGGACCCCAGAACCAGTGCAGCCCAGGCCATACCCAGCCCAGGGAGCAAAGGGTTATTTTAAGCACAATGTAATTTACTACTTTTTTAAAATACATTTTTATTTCAGAGAGGTAGGAAGAGAGGGAGAAAGAGAGAGACATCAGTGATGAGAGAGAACCATTGACCAACTGCTTCCTGCACCCCTTCCTGGGGATCAAGCCTGAAACCCAGGCATGTGCCGTGACCAGGAATCGAATCCTGACCTCCTGGTTCATAGTTCATCGCTCAGCCACTTAGCTACACTGGGCAGGCACAATGTAACTTACTATTAATGGCCGAATTTACAAAAGAGTTAAAAACTAGAGCCTTAGTGGTTAAAGATTAATCACTTAGTAAGGTAAAGGTCTTTAATCTTGGTCTCTAATAAACCAGTTCTTCTGTGAACTTGAAAGGTGATCGCTGACCTTATATTCTAAATTCTGGTTGGGCATTAGAATCGCCTGGGAGCCTTCACATGCTGACATCCAGGCCCCACCCAATCTCAGTGGCATCTCTGTGGAATGATTTCTACAAGTGTCTGTATCCAGACGTGTGTTTTACACAAACTGTGAGAAAGGACCATCTTGACCTAACAAAGCTCTGATTATCACGGTGACCTAGATAACGAACCTGTACACATTCCTGACACATTGCTGAATTCTGCGAAGTATCACACCTTGTGCCATGCTCGCAGGAGAACAGTTCAGTAGGAGAGCCCTGCCTTGAAGAAACTCACCCCTGTGTTATGTGAAGTTGGAAGACAGTCTGAGGAAGGAAGAATTGATGTTCCCTTTGGAGGTACCCCGCCTCATGCTCTGTACGTGACGTGAGGCACGTTAGGTAGACGTCAGAGTTTCCCTTCACCTCCTGGAAGATGCATATTGTTATGGATTCCACAGGGGAGCTCTAGGGGCACAGAGTTCCTATGTAATACGCATTTTGTCTAGAAAGAATAGGACTCTATAGAGCCTCGTTAGTATTTACACAATCCCCTACACCTTCCAGATCACTCACAAATCCCAAACCAGTTAAGCAGAATGTATTCTTTTTGCGTAACGGGCGGTCCTGTCCCTGGTGTGATGGAGCTCACAGTTTCTGGTGCCCGGTGACCGGGCACTAGTAAGGCCTGGGCTGTGGCATTCGAACAGACACACAGCACAGGGCTTGGGCCCACAGGGTTTGCACTGAACGATCAGTGCTGCTGCTCCTGGTGTTTGAAAGCTATCACCATATTAATGTACACAAGTAGCGTTCATGATATCATATCATGTAACGTTGGTTTCTTACAGTTTTGTTTTGGGCTTTTTTTGTGTGTGGGTTTCTTTTTTTGTTGTTAATCCTTACCCAAGTATATTTTTTCATGGATATTCATTGATTTTTAGAAAGTGGAAGGGAACGGAAGAGACAGAGAGAGAAACACGGATATGAGATAGACACATGGATTGGCTACCTCTTGCACACACCAGATCAAGGATCAGCCTGTATACCAGGGATATGCCCTTGTCCAGAACTGAACCCAGGACCCTTCAGTCTGAGGACCGACGCTCTGTCCACTGAGCCACACTGGCCAGGGTGGTTACGTACAGTTCATTCATTCCACACCAGGTTCCTAGGTTGTCATTTTCACATGTATTTTTCAAGGGACTGAGATTCTTGGGTGAATTTTTTAGCCACTTCAAATCTGCCTAAAAAGTTACAAAAGAAATGTTTTTGACAGAGGAATTAATAAAGGGAGCTTTTCTGTGCACTGCGGCTTGAGGTGTGTGTGGTTCCTGTGGAGTCCACAAAGGGCTCTAGGTTCATGGAAGACACAGATGCACCCATTGGCCATGTTGGCATCTCCTTCCGCCTCTGCCTGTTCCAGTGGCTCGTGTCCACGGCCACCCAGGAGAAGGTGTTGGCGGCTAACACCATCTGACTGCCCAACACATAGCCAGTCGCTGGCAAAGGCAAGGCTGCAGTAAGATTTCTGTAGTTGCTCCTTAAAGAGTGGGTTAGTGACTCAGGATCTGGCCAGCAGGTATTGCTAGCATCTCAGGGATGTCACCTGGCAGAGTCTTGGGCGCTTCTCATTTCATAAGTGCTCAGTGAGTGGGGCTCTGCTTAGGCACGGCCAGCTTTGTGATCCATTTTAATTGGATTCTGAAGGCCTTTGTTTTTAGATTTCAGTAATAGCCACATGCCAACAGTTAGGTGTCAATTCATCATATTATTCTGCAAGGTACAATAGCAACTAGATAGCATTTTGCCATGAATCTGAACTGCCCAGAAACAAAGTCCATTAAAAAGCATGTGAAGACATCTGGCCGGAGAGTGGATAGGTAAATCCTGGGAGCCGAGATTGCTGCTCCTTTGACAGCATTAATATTTGAGTGTGAAGAGCAGTTAACTTGGTGGTTCACATATTTCAAATACCCTAGCTTTTTTAAGGTACATGAAGGTCAATTCTTTTGAAGAAAACGGTTTTTAAGTAGTCACACAACTGTTTTGTAAGGTTGGCTTTTTGGTCCCATAAAAAACATGTCCTTCTGTACGTCAGACACGAGCGAGTCGGAGGCAGAGAAAATGCCTGGGGTGTGGGGCAGCCCCAGCCCCAGCAGTGAGCAGGGTAAGCCCTGAGCAGGGGGCACCCTGAACAGTCCCTTCCCCTCAACCCCCCGAAGCAGGCTGGCAGCCCGAGCAGGGCCCCCAGGAAGCTGTCACCCTTGAACGAGTGCTAAGACGTGTAGTTTTCATTCCCTGCCTTAGGGAATTCACGTACTTCTCTGGCTTGTCATTGAAGCCAGTCTTCAAATTGTGCCTTTTCCGATCACAATTTTTGCAGCGGCCCCAAGGGTATTGCCATGATTTAGGAAGCATTGATACGGAAATGAAAAGCTTCAGAGATGAAACCTTGTCCACCAATCCCAGACTTTGTCCCTCTCACTTGAATGCCTTTGACAGGATGTGGTCTCCTGTACACTCGGCCTGGCGCAGGGCCCATGGCCAGTGCTAGCAGGGAGCAGGGCTGCAGGGGTGCCCGCCCTGGCCCCTCAGCATGTGGGCAGAGTGATGCTTCCTGCCTGCATCCATCTCTTCTGGATGGAGACTCTGGTGGTGTATGGCTGTGTATTTCAGTCGGAAGCCACCTGATTCCTTCCTGATGTTCGCCCACTCTTTCTCTGTGCTAAAGTGTCTATTCTGTTGCAGCCGCACCTCTCCATGTCTCGACCGTGACAACAGCAGGTGATTGTGCATCGCCCTCCTGCCCGCCCCCTGTCCCCAGGGTGCTTCAGTGAGCACGCCTCCCAGGGACACAGGGGCAGCCGTGTCTCCAGGCCGTGCCCTGGCTGAGGCCCTTTCTCTGCAGCGGAGAGAACGCGAGCTTCGTTATTCATTGGAGATCAGCTGGGATTGGACCAAAATTAACACAGAGCTCCTGGGAAAGGCTCCTTGGCTGAGGCTCTCCACATCTTAGCTCTTTTTGTGAGAAAAAGTGCTACATGAAGCTGAAAAAATACTTCTAGCAATTATACAAATTGGTTGACCTGTTTTAAAGTCATAGTAAAGGTTATGATTCTAAGTGCCACGCAGCAGAGGTTTTTAAAAACTGTTTCCTAGGTGAACCAAAGGCTGCAAGTGGGTTAATGGTACATTCCCCTGGGATGCTGCTTTAATGCAGCTTCTGAGAGCGTCGCATCGTGCTGTGGGTGAGTCCAGGCAGTGTTGCCAGCACCCCCTCCTGTGTTGGTGCAGCACGTTTACTTCTGAAGGTTCTCAGACCGCCGGTCAGTGCATTTGTGTTACACAGTCATCGTATCACACTGCAGACCGTCACAGGTCAGACAGTTTCATAGATCCCATTTTGAAAATGTATAGCCATCCCTTTAGACTTTTGGAAACACTAAATGTGATGTTTCTACACATGAACATTGTGAGTAATTAATGGTTGTGATTTTGATAAATCTGAGCCACTTCAGAGACACTTTCCACCACATTCAGTGGATGAGAGTCGGTGCAGGAAGGCTTGGAGGAAGAGCAGGGGAGAGAGCTCGCCAAATGGCCACATCTCGTGTTCTGGCCAGAATTAGGTCGAATTGACAGGCCTCCTGCTGGGTGTGCCTGGCTCACTGAAGCACCCTGGTGACTTTTTCTTCCTGTTTTCACCCACTGACTAACTGAATGCTGCACCTTCCTCCTCACCCGCCCTCTCGGTCCTGGGTGCATTGAAAGGGAACCGAAGCCTTGGTGACTGGGGTGGAGGTGTGTTCCTCAGCAGGCAGAGCCTGTTTTCTGTCTGAAGCATGTATCTGTTTAGCTAATCAGGCCGCCTATTTGTAGGCAAGTCATCTGCATAATAATGGTGGGTTGCTTTTGCTTTCCTCCCTTTTAAATTGTGATAACACTATCTCACAATTTAGAAAAAAATCTCAATAAGAATTTCTAATTTGCATGATTACTGAATTTCATCTAAACTAAGATATGTGATTTAAACAGAGTGTCACATGATTTTTTTTTGTCTGTAGAGTCTTAAAGTCAATGCTCAGTGCAGTGTGCGCACATTTTCTGCAAAACCGCTCGTTTACTGGGTTAATCATGGCGCCAGCATGATGCCTATTTCCCCAAGTGACAGCAGTTTATCTTCCCAGTAGGAACTCTTCCGGAGCCCCTGGAATAGGGCCTCTCCGGGTAGCCCACCTGGTTACAGTAACCAGCACACACAAGTGACCCCGGAGCCCCCTGTGGCTTGTTTGGTGAAAGTCTCATTCTATGGACGAGGAAACTGAAACCTAAAGACAGGAAGTGACTTGCCTGGGTCCCAGCAGTACATCCCGGCCACGCAAGGCAGGGTGCCTGCTCGGTGACGGTGTTTTACGTGCTATTTAAACAGTGGCGGTCATAAAGTAGTAGAAACAACACATCAGACTAACTGCTTCAGCCAGCTTCTGGTTTCCCTGTGGGTATTCAGAAAACGTCAGCTCCACCATTTGTTTCTTGGGTGTTGTGCTGAATTGTCATCACGTGGGCATAGGGGAAGGGAGGTAGCGGCAGCAGCATTGAGGCTTCCGTGTCTCTGCCCACTGACTCAGTCCGCACTCCCCGTCAGGCAGCTGTGAGCCCCTGGTTCACAGACAGGATCTCGCACCCCAGCCCTGCACACACACAGCTGCGCTTGCCCTGCACACCAGGCACCCCAGTCCTTCATGGCACTGCCTCGCCCAGGTTTCACCTCTTGAAGAGAGGAGGAAAGTGTACTCCTATCCAGTCTAGTGCCATCACCGCACGGCCACACCTCCATCCTATCCCTCTTCTTGCGGCCCAAGTACAGTCTCTTCCTACCCGCTCTGTGGTTGAAAGTGTTACACAGCACAGAGTCCGCTCGTCCTACTCCCCATCCCAGTAGGGACCCCTTTTGTAATGTGCCATTTTTAAGGAAAATGCTTACCCAATGTTCTTTCATGAACTATTGGGACGGTGATTAGCATGATGACTTTTATCTGAAACCCTTTCCATCATCACCTAATAGAACTTGACTCCTGTCTCGCTTAGTCCCTCTCACTTAAAGACTGCTTTTCATTTACAAGTCTACACTCGGCTTTGTTATTCGCTGTTCATCCTGTTATCACATTACTCGAGACAGGTTTTTGCTCTCCTACAAGCTGAAATGCCTGGGTGTAGTTTCTTGAAGGAATTCTGGTTGGATTGGTTGTCCAGAGGCCATCTTCTCTGGTGGTTAGACCTAAGACTTGCTCTTCGCACTGCCCCACTCATTCCCTTGTTCCGCAGTTACTGTCACCTTCCACACTGCGCCGGGACTGGGCACCCGGGCCGCTGCCACCATGGCCCTGGGTGGCTTCTTCCCCGTCACCGGGGAAGTCAGCAAAACCTCTGGGGACATCAAGCGCAGGCACTACAACTCCGCTGTCTGTGTCCTCGTTGCCAGCAGATGGCCGGCCCTCAGAGGGAGGGTGACACGTGGCATGAGAAGAACATGGAGCTGGAAACTGGAGTGAAGGAGAACAAGAGGGTTCACAGGAGTAGCCGATGACACAGAGACAGTGATCTGATAACCTGAGACCTGGTTTCAGCCAGGGATGCTGCCTTTCATCTCTTGGGTAGAGAGTCCCCAATAGGAGGTGCTCCGTATGGTCCAACATGCACGTGAGTGGAGGCCGGAGCCATCCCTGATGGACGGTCCAAACACAGCATGTGCCTGAGCGGACACTGCCCGCGGGCCTCTGACAGGTGCAGACAATGTGGAATCCCACAGGGGCAGGCTGGTGGGCCGCAGGGGCTCCTCAGGGTCTGAGCCTGTGTCCCTCAGTGATGACAGGAATTGAAAGACGAGCAAACTAGGGAACGTCAGTGCAGTGAATGCGCAGCAGCGCTGGTTGGAATCTTAGCTTTTCTTGGGGTTCATAAATGTCAATATAAATGTAGCCCAATAAAAAGCACAGAATAGAACGGGAACCTTGAGATTCCTCGGTGTTAACTAGCTCTTCCATTTTTTTTAATTTTTATTTTTTTTGAGCAACAGTACAATTTTAAAAACAAAACATTTTTTGAGAACTTATACTTGGTGGTAAGAAAAGCAGGCAGCCTTTCCTCGTGCATTTTGATCAATATCGGAAACATCCACGCTCGGTCCTGCGTGGTGGCTTGTTCTCCCAGGCTGGCCATGCTTGGGGCACGTTTGTGGCCTCGCTGTCCCTGCACGCCGCTGACAGGCCCCGGGGTGCCCGTCCCTTCTGTGCTGAGACCAACGGGACTTCTCTTAGCCACGTGCGTGCCGAGCTCCGTGTCTGCTGTGAGGCGGATGCTAAGCTCCTTTTCTCCACTCGTCTGCCATAGCAGATGCAGCGCGTTCCTGTCCCGCCGTTTCTTGGATTGACTGTGTCCCAGAGTTTGGGCTGCAGTCATGGACTTGGTGCTGGTGTGGGTCTGGCATGGTGTGCTTGCTGAGCCTGATCCACCGGGGGCTGCTTTCCTCTTTCTGTGTTGGCATGAGAGCCTTGCAGATGCAATGGGAATGCCCATCAGGTTGCCCATTTCTGCCTCTTTACCAAGCGAGTCTTCACTGCATGCACCCACCCCTTCCAAAGGAAGTCCTCCCAGTTAGACCAGCCCTTTCCTCCGCACGCAGACAAGTGGACCAGACTGTCCACAAACCTCGAGCTTGGCAGAAACAGAGCAAAAGGAATAGAGATGCCTCTACGTTTCTAAATTACTAGCTGTGGTTTCCCACGTTCAGTTTACTGCAGTTTGGGGCCATTCACCTGCCCAGACCCTCCCCCGCAGAGCCCGCCCATCCACATGGAGCTGGTGCTTGTGCCCCAGTGAATTCTGGGAGAGGCGGGCCTCTCAAGTCATAGATCATATTAAAATGAGCTGGACACAATGTAACTTTGAAAAGCCCAGTGGAATTCATTGACAACTGCTCCCTCCCACCCTGACTTCACTGTGGGTCAGGACGTGCAGGAGGAAGTTCATGACGGGGACCTTCAGAGTCTTCATTTAATTCTGTGCCACTCTCCGTCAGTCGGATACATTGTAATCTATATCCACACATTCCAGCAAAGGTAGCAGGAATTGTCTTAAGTTATAGATAAAAACGACACAGAAATCAATGCGTTGGTATAAAGTGAGATAACTAAGGATCAGTGTTCTCCACCAGGCATTTAAATACCAGACATTTGAGAACCAAGCATTTCGGACAGAAATTAACTGGCCAGGACTTGGGCACCTGCGTCCAGCCTTGCCAATGGGTCTGACCTCTGCTCCCCTTTCAGCTTCCTGGTCAGCTTCATGGTGGACGCCCGCGGGGGTGCCATGCGCGGCTGCAGACACCACGGGCTCCGCATCATCATCCCGCCCAGGAAGTGCACGGCCCCCACCCGGGTCACCTGCCGCCTGGTGAAACGCCACCGCCTGGCCACCATGCCCCCAATGGTGGAGGGAGAAGGCCTGGCCAGCCGCCTGATCGAAGTCGGACCCTCTGGCGCACAGTTCCTGGGGTAAGGGTCTCTGCTAAGCCTCCCACTTAGTCACCCGCGCGCTAGCGTCTCGCCGAGCGCCACGGGGATGGCTGCATGAAGGTACGTCCAATGCTCTGATTGGCCTCTGTGACATTTTTAAAAATCTGTTGTTTTGATGTCAGAGAGGAAGGGAGAGGGGAAGAGAGAGAAACATCAATGATGAGAGAGAATCATGGATTGCCTGCCTGCAGCACGCCCCACACTGGGGATCAAGCCCGAAACCCGGATAGGGGAATTTTACTGTGACCTCCTGGTTCATAGATCAACGCTCAACCCTGAGCCACACCGGCAGGGCTCCTGTGACATTAAAGCAGCACTGATGTTGCACTCCTCCCCACGCCTCTTCCTTTATGAGCACCCGTGAGCTCAGCAATTAGCTTACTCTTCCTCCTCTTTGGATGTGGTTGCAGCTGCTAGACTCCCAGTGGGAATAATTTTTTCAGCCGATGGTAGGTATTATTTTCCCTCTGAGACTGAAGTGGCAGAGTCCTAAGAAAAACTCTATCCCAAACATGAACATGAGGTCCCGAGTCCTGAGACCCGTCTGCACTTGGGAAGAGTGTTGCCAGAAGTCAGTGTGTGATTTGCCTTCTCTGCTCCCACACTGCTAACCTTGAGGCTTATACTCACTGGCAGCCTGTTTGCTCACAGTTTTCCTTAAGATGGTGAAGTCTGGGCCACTGCTGCCAGCCTCATTTTAGCAATTTTGAGCAGAGATGAGCATTTCTTCTTCTTTCTGTGTGTGAGCGGCTGCTATTGTGTTGAGTGGTATTTCAACAAGCCGGGAAATGCGTGGCTTTTGGTATACCAACAAGCCGAGAAATGCTGAAAACCGACCAAAGGGTGAGGTTGTGGAGGGGGACGGACGAGTTTCAGAATGTTTTGAAACAGATCAATTGTATTTAAGTCTCCTCATGGCACGTCTTTGTGCTCAGAAGCGGGGCCCACATCCTGCTGCCCAGGAGCTTCTGTTCCGGCATCACATTGGGAGGCTGCTCGCGCTAGAACTAGGAATCGGGCTAAAGCCTCGTAACTTGGAGGAAGCTGTTCACAGGTTGCTCCAAACTGCATTCACGCTGAGGAGGCGTGCCCATATTCCGGTTCTAGAAGCCTCCTCCCGCATCCCTCAGGCAGACCTGAGGCACAGGAGGAGCCCGGGGGGCTCTGGGTGGGGCACAACTGTGACCCTTCCCCTCCTGTCCCAGGCCCCCCTCCCTCCCTCACGCTCAGGCCACTTGGGCGTTGTAACAGTCTCCAGATCTGTGCAGGAATATCCATGGAAACATGGGCCTCTCTGCAGAGTCCGGGTTTCATTATGTTTCCAGCAGCCCGGGCAGCATGTTTTTCCTTCCATGCCCTGGCAGGACCTCACCAGGGACAGGCCATCCCCACGTGCCGTCCCCATGTGCCGCCCCCGCGTCTCCACTGGGCACGCTGGGCGTCAGCGCCTCCCTCCCTGTGGCCAGTGGAGGGAACAGACCAAAGCAGACCTGCCGGTGGACGAGCGGGCGGTGCTGGGGCGTGGACGCCACACCTGAAGCTTACCTGTGTTCTCTCTTTCACTGCTGCTTTGGATGTGCTCAGTAAACTCCACCTGCCAGCGGCTCCCCCCCCACTTAATGAGGGAGAAAGCTTGGTCAGCCGCATCCTTCAGCTGGGGCCTCCTGGAACCAAGTTCCTTGGGTAGGAGCGACTTAAATCCAATCGGTGGCTGCCGGCCCCATTCTCCTCCTCCTGCAATATGATTTCTCCTTCTGTCATTGTGCCATGACGTCCCTCTCTATGATTTACACTCTGCGAACTCTCTCTAGCGGACCATTTCTGACCCTGTGGTGTGTGACTTTTGTTTCGAGTGATGTTTTGTCCCTTTCCCCTTAAGTGCTGTGACCTTCCTTTTCGTTTAAAGCATGAGATCTGCCTAGTCGTACTCTGTGCTGGCTACGGTGTTGTGATGGGAATTTGGAGTCTGTCTCAAAGCAACCTGGACTGGAGACCCAGAGCCTCCACGACTCTTGAGAGTGGCTGAGCCCTGGAAGCGAGGGCCATGCATGCTCGGACCTGAGCCCAGCAGGCATCGCACACACTGTTGGGGGCTCGGCGAGGGCCACTGTGTACAATGCCTCCTGCGCCCTCGAATGGGGAGAGCCTCGGCAGACCACGCATGCATGTCTCCGTAGTTCCCACGCAGTCAGCTCCTCTGACATCTCATGTAGACACATCAGCTCACGCAGCACCAAGCCATCCCCCTCTCCAGCCATTGCCACGTTGCACCTCGTTGAGAACGCCCAGGAGGTCGGTGCACGTCATAGATATGCATGTCCGTTTCTTTACATCTCTCCGAGGAGAAGTTCCAGAATGCCACATGCACTCACAAGGAAACACCGGGGCTCCAGGTAGCAGTGTGTCCCCGGGACGGGAGCCCTGAGGTGGAGTGCTACTGTGCAGCCAGCCGCTAGCCATGTCCCTGGCCCCAGAGAGAGGAATCCAGGTCACTTTGCAACAGACAGCGGGATGCGTGTGGCGTGTGGCTGGCTGCCGCCCACACTGTGTGCTCTGCTTGCTGCCAGGCCCGTCATCGTGGAGATCCCGCACTTCGCTGCCCTGCGAGGGAAGGAGAGGGAGCTGGTGGTGCTGCGCAGCGAGAACGGGGACAGCTGGAAGGAGCACTGCTGTGAGCACACGGAGGACGAGCTCAACGAGATCCTCAATGGCATGGACGAGGGTGCGTGGAGGCAGTTCTTCCTGAGGACCCAGGGCTGCATGTGTATGCACGCGTGTGTGCACGTCTGTGTGCGTGTGTGTGTGTGTGTGTGTGTGTGTGTGTGGTGCACAAGTGTCTGTGTGTGATTCTGGCCCCGCAGGTGCCGGTGTGTTCCAGTGATGATGAGTTGATGAACAATGCATTGGCCTGGTCTGTTGCTACTCAGGACAATAAAATCCCAACCCCAGTGACCCTGTTAGTCTAGATTTTCTCCTTTAAACTAGTCTGGTTTTTCTGTCCTGTCCACGGGTGTGCACTCAGTTTGTGCAAAGCCTGTGACCCCATCTGCTGATGGTGGGACATGCTGGGCAAGTTCCTGGTTTCAGGGGAATTCAAACCCTGGATTCAGATCATCCATCATGGCCCGCACACCATCATGGCAGGACATCCTTCCTTCCGTACACGTCCTGAGAAATCAAAGGCACATTTCTTCTGACAACATAGAAACTGGGTCTTGAGCTAACCTTGACGTTGGCAAAGGAGAGGCCTGCGGGACCCATCTCCTCTGCAGCTGACAAAAGTAGAATAAACCAGGGAGAGAGCAGGTGGTTTGTTGTAGCCCCGTGAGACCCACAGGCCCCGCAGAGGGACCGGGTGCTGCCGGAGGGGAGGGGCACTGCTCTGGTGGAGCACTCCCGCCCTGAGGAGGTGCTGACCTTGAGCATGCGCGTGTCATCTGCAGTGCTGGACAGTGCTGAGGACCTGGACCGTAAGCGCATCTGCCGCATCGTCACGCGTGACTTCCCGCAGTACTTCGCTGTGGTGTCCCGTGTCAAGCAGGACAGCCACCTGATCGGGCCCGAGGGCGGCGTGCTGAGCAGCACAGTGGTCCCGCAGGTGCAGGCGGTGTTCCCCGAGGGTGCGCTGACCAAGCGGATCCGCGTGGGCCTGCAGGTGCGGTGCTGTGCGCGTGCGTGGCCGGGGCATCTTGGGGGAGGGAGGACTGGCTGTGGGAATGGGTGGGCCTATGCAGACATGGTCACATTGCACTGGAGAGCAGGGCTGCTATAGCACATAATAAGTCTCTTACAGGAGGGCTGAGTAACTGTTGCTTCAGTCCTGTGCTGGAAGCCACTATGCTGATGCATGGGGCAAAAAGCATGCCTCCCAAGGTATTTGACGTGAAGCACAGTGGCCTGTTTACTGTGTGCTTTTCTTGGAAAAGGCGCAACCTGTGCACGGCGAGCTGGTTAAGAAGATCCTTGGGAACAAAGCGACCTTCAGCCCGATCGTCACCTTGGAGCCCAGACGAAGGAAGTTCCACAAGCCGATCACCATGACCATCCCCGTGCCCAAAGCCGCCAGCGACGTCATGCTGAATGGTTTTGGGGGAGATGCTCCAACCTTGAGACTTCTGTGCAGCATAACAGGTGGGGTGCCCGCGACAATGGGGGTAGAAAGCTCTGGAAGGAGAAGCCTACATGTTGTAAATGTTAAGTGACTTTGTCCTAAGGGCCTGCTGGGGCCTGTGTTGCTTCAGGAGGAGCATCCTAAGTAGGGAACGGAAGGTGGCAGGAGATGTACGACCTGCTGATAAAGCTGCGTGCCCCTGGCAAGTGCACACGTGTCGTCACTCTCACACAGCCCTGTGACCACATCTAGCCCCATTCCACTGAAAAGGAAGCCAGGCTCCGAGAATTCTGGGACTTGCCCAACATTATACCACAGGCTTGTGCAGAGCTGGGGTTCCAACCGAAACCCCCACCCCTGCCAGTCCTCGCCAGACATTTGAAAACTCCTCCTCCTTCTGCATCATCACACCCAGCAGGTCAGACCTGACCTCTGTCTAGGGGTGGGTTCTGTCACCACTGGCCTGTTGAATAGCCTTGAGAAACAGAGGAAAGGTTTTTCAAGACTCATTGAACGTGGTCTTTTCCATTGGAAGTTGTGCTAGTGTTCAGACATCTATCAACCTCCAGAAAGACTCCCAGCTGCTGGTTGTCTTGGCCCCATAATACATGGTGGGAGGTAAAAATCCACCGCATCGCGAGGCTGGGAATGTCCCTCTTTCTCAGCACCACGAGTTCCCAGCGCTCAGCAGTGCCGCCCTCTGCTCGGGTGTCAGCTGCTGCTCACCCAGAGGTGTGAGGACGTTCTCACTTCTCCTTCCCAGCTGTGTTCTCCCTTACTTTGCGCTCTCTCCAGTTCTCCCTCCTTATTAATGCTCTTCTGTATGCACCATGGCAAGCCATTGAGATTGCCCCATATACTTAACAAATGCAAAATACATGGACTAGCAGGAGCCCAGGGGATCATGCTTTAGTCACGACCTTATTCCCACCCCACATTCCTGGGTGAGTTTCTCACAGTTTTCAGTCCATTTGCATACAGTTAGCCCTTCATCACGTGAGACGTAGTGCGTGGAGGTGAAGCAGGTGAGATGTAATGTGCAGGCACGCCTGCCCTGGCCAGGCGTCAAGCAAGGGACCATGTGGCTGAGGCACCATCTGCCTGATCAGGCTTCCTCAGGCCTTCGTCCACCTGTCCATCCACCTGCAGTGTTCGTTAAGCTCTTAATGTTTTCCAAGTATTTTCTTCTTATAATCTTCCATTGCAAATTGAAATTTTATCTGAAGAAAATAATTGTATAAAGTATGAAGTTCAGGAGCAAAAGACTACTTGGATTTTTCATTATTTTAACAAAATCTTCAGCTCCTTGGTCAGTTAAAGGATCTCTTAAATTCATCAACCCTACACATCTCATTGATCTATAGGGCCTACCAATTACAATAATAGCCTCAGAACGTCAGGTAGAGGATGGAACCCCTAAACGTGAAGCAGTGACTCCAGTAATCTCTAAGCTCATTCCTGGGAGGTGCTGTCAGCGGCTGCTGCTCTGTGTGGCCTCTCGGCTTCCTCGGGCAAGCACGGAGCCACACACTACTTGACAACCCGGAGTCGGAAGTGTTGCCTGATTTTTTCTACAATCCTGTTGTTTCAGGGGGGACCACTCCTGCACAGTGGGAAGACATCACAGGAACCACGCCATTAACATTTGTCAATGAGTGTGTTTCCTTCACCACCAACGTGTCTGCCAGGTACGCCCGGCCCTCCGACCAGCCCAGCGCCATGGCGGCTCACCCCCCAGGGATTTTGCTTTGTCTTCTTTGTTTCTGCATTCTTCAAAAGTGAATTTTTCTGGTTGGTTTTAAATACAATCTGTATTAACTTTCGCATTTTAAACTGGACCTGCTCGCCAGCAAAATGAATAGTGATAATATAGTACAGAGTTCAACCAGTCGGGTTAAAATCTAAGGACACAAGCGATCGGCAGCTTTGGCTGTGGGGCCTTGCCTCCCATAGCGGCAACCACCAGTTGTTCCAGTCCCAGAGGCCTTAGGGATGATAGGTTTCCTGCTGATCAGCACATCCCAAACTGCTTCCAGCAGAATATCAGAGTCCGAGTGCACATGTGTGTGCAGATGGTTCCAGGTTTAGGTGACTCTAGGAGGCCTGACACATGCATGTATGTGTCTCACATCCTCACAGCGCTGACACGGTCCAGTCTTGTTTCACATGCTCATTAACTCCGTTTATCGTTGGCTCCTTGTGTGACCTGTAAGGGAATGCTGGGTGCTTTCCCATGCATTTGATTTTATCACTACAATGACTTGGTATTGCGTCCATTTTACAGGTCGGAAGACTGAGGCTGAGAGGGTTAGAGCTTAAACTCCTGTCCAGGGCACACATGGGCAGCTGTAGCTCCAGAGATGACAAATGCGAGCAGGTCCAGTTTAAAATGACAAATGTGAGGAGAAGGTTACTAGGGGCCCTGCGAGTGCACGTCAGGGCGGAGAGGACGCCTGAGGGGACGTGCCTCCTGAGACATGCAGGAGCCTGACAGGCAGGAGAGAGGCAAGAGAGAGGACCGTGGAAAAGACAGGAGGGTGGGGACAAGCAGCAGACATCTGAGGTCGGAGGTCAGACCAGAGCTGCCACGTGGGTGACGGCAGAGCTGAGGGAGGCCGGGCAGCTTCTGTGTTCCTCATTTCACCCCTGACGCACACCGTGTGAGTCAGAGCAAAGAGAAGGCGATATCGAGTCCACCAGGTGCCAGCGGCTGAGCTGGACCTGAGAACGTTAAGCTAAAGGAAGTAGCTGGTATTCACGCATGTGAGGCCCCAGAGTAGGCGAGGGCACGGGACAGACATGAGCAGTCGGGTTGCGGGTACCTGGTTCTGCTGGGATGATGGGAGGCTGCAGGATGGCAGCCAGGATTGTAAATGTACGTCATGCAGCTAGCATGGTGAGTTTTAGTTACATGTATCTCATCAGAACTAAGCTAGTAAGGAGAGAGATGGATGAGGGACAGGAAGGAATCGGTGACTAGGGAAAGGTAACCTCAGGGGCGTGGAAAGATGGCGGGAAGGAGTTGAGGGAAGGAGGCAGCAATAGGCGGAGCGAGGTTTCAGGGCGACAGGATGTGGATAATGCTTTGCATCTGTCGCCTCAGCTTTCTCAGCCGAATGGTCCTTCCTCAAGCCGGGGGTGGGGGGACAATCCGGGAATGCTGAGCAGGCTCAGCAACCTTGGTGCCCTGAGCAGAGACGCTGAGGGGACGTGGCCAGGCCGTGTCACAGGCCCCAGGAGGCCACCAGCCATGAAGGAGCCACAGAGCAGTGACTTTCTCTGGGAGCCACGCCCAACAATGCCTGGAGTTCTGCCTTGAAGGCAGATTTCCAAATGGTTGGATTGATCCACCTCGGTGCCAGAGAGGGTTTTGGAAAAGAGGAACGAGATGAGGTGACGCTGGGTAGATCTTATTGAGAAGAGTTTAGTAAAGGAGAGGAAGATTGGAGGAGTCGAGGGGAACGGGGGCTCCCCTATGAGGACCCATTGCAAAGGCCCCAGGTTCCCTCCACGGATGGTGCTGGGATTCGGGGGCGGATTTAAGAAGCTGGACCCTGGAAGTGTCTCCAAGGAAGAAAGTCACAGATATGGTCCAGGGGTTGGGGGTGCACACCTGGTCCGCGGAGCCCTCCTGCCCCGCTCTGCCTGCCGTCTCTCATCCTCTCCCACCTCCCTCTGAGGTAGGAAGCACTTGATGTCATATTGAAGGAACTGAGGGTTTTTTTCGACTGGTGTCCATTAATTCAATTTTTTTCTGAGCTTCGCCGGCCGGCTGGTATCCATTAGTTCTAGATGCCTGACCGCTTAAAATCCTTTGCAGGTTCTGGCTGATCGATTGCCGGCAAATCCAAGAATCCGTCACCTTCGCCTCCCAAGTGTACAGGGAGATCATCTGTGTCCCATACATGGCCAAGTTCGTGGTGTTCGCCAAGTCGCATGACCCCATCGAGGCGCGGCTGCGGTGCTTCTGCATGACGGACGACAAGGTGGACAAGACGCTGGAGCAGCAGGAGCACTTCGCGGAGGTGGCCCGCAGCCGGGACGTGGAGGTGCGGGTTCCGGAACAACGCATGGACACGTCTTTGCCTTTCTTCAAAGATTATATGTAAAATAGTGGCTAATAAGTAGAACCACAAATTTTAAAAAAGACCAGTCCTCATCTTGATCAGTTAGAAGGTCAGGGTCCAAAAGCAGCTCGTTTCAGTCCATCGGGGCCAGTGCTGTGGGGAGAGGAGGCGGGAGAGGCTCTTCTGAGCATCATGGGGGAAGGAGGATCAGCTATGAGGTGTGTAAGTGGCGGTAACAGTGTAGAATGCTTATCTTTCCTCATTCTGAGTGACCTTTAGTAGTAAAGATAGCGGTCAGGAAGTGTATCCTTGGAATAAATGTGGACGTGAGCTACCCAGGCCTTTCCGCGTTACTCCTGCTTATTTCAGGCTTCTCCATCAGCGTGGGTGTGGATGGTGAGGTCAAGTAATGTGACTTATTGGATGTAAAAACGACCCAGTCAGAAGACAGACTTTGGGGCTTAAAGCTCAGTCAGTTTGGGGTGATGTGATGCGACCTGAGAAACAAGGGCTCACATCAGAGGCAGGTCCCTTAGGGCATACTTTGTCCTCCAGGGGACAGGGCATAGCAACTGAGTGATGGTTGTAGGTAGGTTTTAACATTCCAACTGGTATCACCACTTCTTTATGTAAATAACAAGCAATAACTGCATTTATAGTCTGTTCTGCTTCTCTGCTTCACCAGGTGTTGGAAGGAAAACCCATCTACGTTGATTGTTTTGGCAATCTCGTGCCATTAACCAAGAGCGGCCAACATCATATATTCAGTTTTTTTGCCTTTAAAGAAAACAGACTTCCTCTCTTTGTCAAGGTAATTATCTATTGTATATGGAATTTTTACACACATTTTATTCTACATCAAGTAATGACAACTTCCTTTAAAAGGAGAGAATATCTGCTTTTCAATAATTTCCAGAGATTATTTAAACCATATCCATAAAATTTTAAAGTTTTGGAAAACTAACCATTTTCAGTTTTGAAGTTCAAATTTAACTTTAAGACTATGTTTAAGGACAAACAGCCAATTTATTAGAAAAACTGGCTTTTCTTTTTCAAATTTTAAAGGAAAGTCTCTTTAAAGTATTGTTCCTTTTAAATCTTTGTGCTTATGTTTTAAATGTGTGAATTTTCCCAAAGAGGAGAGCAGAGGGCTCTCAAACGGCCAAGGAGCCCACTCAGCCTAAGGCCAGGTGACCTTGGGCAGCACTGTGGCCGGGCATCCTTCACACAGGCGTTCAGCCAACAGAGATGCCCGTCTGTTTCAGACCATCCCAGGCAGAAGTTTGGCGATGATAATTACATCTCCCCTGGATTCCATGCCTGTGGATGGCCAAGCACATATAAATGAGAGGCTTGTGAAGTAGAAAGGAAGTAGTAATTCCTTCTGCACCAGCTCTCACACTCACTGTCCCGTTGCCCATGAAGCATTGCATTTCTCTGGAGGTCCCGATGCCACCCCCCCCCACACACACACACCAGGCTGGGCTGGGCTCCCTCAGCTTTCCCCAGTCCTGCCTCAGGCGACTGATTCCTAAGCCGTTCATCATCACGACCCTTTTATTACCAAACCCCTCATGGTTTCTCTCAGCACAAAGCTGTGCAGCTGCTTAATGTTTTTAAATAGTTTTTTTTTTAATTGATTTCAGAGAAGAAGGGAGAGAGAGAGATGGAAACACCAACTATGAGAGAGAAGCATTGATCAGCTGCCTCCCGCACGCCCCCTACTGAAGATGAAGCACGAAACCCAGGTATTTGCCCTGACACAGAATTGAACCATGACCTCCTGGTTCATAGGTTGATGTTCAACCACTGAGCCATGTGAGCCGGTGACCTGCTTAATTTTTTAGAGCGATGGAGTTCTCCCAAGTTCTCTGCTGAGCCTCTCATGGTGCCATTGCTGGTCACCAGTTTTGCCTGATTAAAGCTGTCCTAACAGGCCATTTCACGGAGCAGTCACTGCTGAGGGCGGCAGAGCCACTGAACACAAAAGGTTGTGTGATTGAACTAATATTTGATACCATTAGTATGCAAACATCATTTATAAACAACCCAGTACAAAATGGTAGAGGACCTGAATGGACATTTCTCTGAGGAAGGTGTCCAGATGGCCAGTAAGCCCATGGAAGGATGCTTAGCAAAGTCACATTCCAACCACAGTGAGGTACTGCTCCGTGCCCATTAGAACAGCTGTTATCAAACAAAAACAAAAACAGGGAGCTAGTGTTGGTGTGGCCGTGTGAACACGGGGCCGACGCCTTGCTGGCTGGAAATCACACGATGCTGCCCTGTGGAAACAGTGCACGCACTCAGAGCATGAGACATGGCGACCACAGGGTCCAGGGATTGTGCTCCGAGGTCTAGTCCACAAAAACTGAAGGCAAGTACTCGGTTACTTTCCCGCTGACATTCACAAAAACATCATTCACCCAAAAATGGATATCTCGAATATCCATTTGCAAATGAATGGGTAAACAAAGGGGTCTGTCTATACATACCATGGAATGCTATTCAGCCTGAAAAGGCAATGAAATTCTGACACATGCCACAACATGGATGGGCCTCCAAAACATGTTGGGTGAAATTAACCAGGCACAAAGGACAGACACGGTCTAAGTCCATCTCTCCGAGGGCCCAAGAGGAGGCAGGAGGCAGGTGTACAGTCAGGTGGAATCGAGTCTCTGGGGCTGGGAAGAGGAGGGGGGCAGTCTCCAGGGAACAGGTGCAAAATAGTGACGATTGCCAGCTTAGTGAGAGGCTAATGCACTGAGCTGTACGCTTAAAAACAGTGGGAAAACGGAAAAGGTAAATTTTGTTATGTGTATTTTACCACAATTTAAAAAAAAATGATTTTAAAAGAAATAATTGTAAATTGTAAAAGGACAAGGAGAAAGGAGCAACTCGAACCCTTACTCAGCATTCTCAAATGCATTGTCTGTCCCCCAGTTCTTTGGAGGGATCATCTCCTTAAAGAAGGCACATGCATCCTATGTGGTCACACTCGTGCTTTTCTTGTTCAAGGTACGAGACACGACTCAGGAACCATGTGGACGACTATCATTTATGAAGGAGCCGAAATCCACGCGAGGCCTGGTGCACCAAGCCATCTGCAACCTGAACATCACCCTGCCTGTCTACATCAAGGTACCGCAGACGCCCCGCGTGCGGCGAGTGGGGGAGAGCGAGGGGGGAGATTATCTGCAATTCGGAACCTGCACAAGCAGAGGCATCATGTGTAGCAGTCATTTTGGATTCCCTGTCAATTCGTAATTTTCCATGGAAGGCAGAAAAAAAGGAGCTCTACCTTATTTCATATCCAGTTCATTGTTAGGAAAAAATTTCTATGAACACATATTGGATACAGAAGACAGAAACTTTTAATTTACGATTTAACTTTTTAGACTAGTTTTTAAAAAGCAAATAACTGACTTCGTCTTCGTTATTGCTGTTATGTGCCCTCTTGGGACCATGCTGGGCCCTCTGGTACCCAAACCTGGGCCCATTAGCTTTGGTTCTCCACCAGCTCATAGGTGGGTTCTAAACAGTGCATGCAGAGCAACCTTGTGACATTTTGTCTTGTTGCTAAAATAATTACCTGTTCCTTTTATTTTTATTTCTTAAATATATTTTTATTGATTTTAGAGAGGAAGGGAGAGGAAAAAAGAGAAACATCAGTGCTGAGAGAGAATCATGGATCGGCTGCCTCCTGCATACCCCACACTAGAGATGGAGCCCACAACCTGGTCATGTGCCCTGACTGGGAACCCAACTGTGACCTCCTGGTTCATAGGTCAACCACTGAGCGACACCAGTCAGGCATTACCTGTCCATTTTATAACCTGTAATGTTTAGGAGTATCAAATTAGTTTTTCAACTATTTTTACATGCTTTGTATACAAAGTATTTCCATGTTCTAAGGAGCAGATTTGAAATATTGTTGAAAAGGAAACATTCATTAATTCCTGCCCCAGGTCTACTACATCTGGATATAACTCTCCAGGCAAGGCTCTTCCAGGTGCAGATTATCTGTGATTACTCTTGCTTATACAGAAACTAGAAGCCAAAATTCATGCAGTCAGGGGGAAGGAGGGGGTGCGTGCAAGGGAGCCTGGACTACTCCCTCTCACAGTCCAGGAGCCCTTAGGGGATGTCCAGCTGATGGCTTAGGCCCACTTCCTGGGGAGCAGGCCTAAGCCATCAGCTGGACATCCTTAGTGCTACCGTGGAGATGGGACAGGCTCCCGCCACCGCCGCTGTGCAAGCCAGCTGTGAGCCCAGCTTCTGGCTGAGCAGCACTCCCCCTGTGGGAGCACACTGACCGCCAGGGGGCAGCGCCTGCATTGAGTGCCTGCCCCCTGGTGGTCAGTGTGCATCATAGTGACTGGTCGGTCCCCTATTCGGTCGATTTGTATCGATATGTTAGCCTTTTATTACATAGGATATTCTTGATTACTCTATCAAACCAAAGGAGACAACTGAATGAATTTTTACATTGGGGAAAACTTTTTTATTTAAAAATATTTTAACCAGTAGCCCTTCCTCATGGAAGCCCACCCAGCCATGCTTTGTGGCTGCAGCCACGAGTCAGTGAGTGTGCCCCAGAGGGGGGACAGGGTGCAGAGTGACGTAAGCCCTGGTGGAAGGAAATATATTTAAAGTCCTACATTGGACTCCACAAAACAAGCACTGCCTATACTACTTTTCACCTGCTGGTTTGTTTTCTGTAACAAATGATTCCTGTAAATAGAGATCAGTCAGGTAGAAAAGCTCACGGCATTGTGTGCAGCATTGCAACTTCTTATTTGATAAAAATAAATCTGACTTTCCTATGAAGATAATGAGCTCTGGATCTGTGGCCAGTGAGCCTTCAGTGTGCTGTGAAGAAAGCATTTACTCTATTTTAATATTTCTATTGATTTTTTAGAGAGAGTCAAGGAGAGAAAGAAATATCTATTGGCTGCCTCTGCATGCCCCCTACTGGGGATTGAGCCAGCAAACCTGGGCATGTGCCCTGACCGGGATGGAACCGGAAACCTTTTGGTTCACGGAACGACGCCCCACCATCTGAGTGGGTTCACTGACTCACCATCACGTTTGCCGGGTCAGACACAGGCGTGATGCTGTGACGGCCCAGGGGGCTCTCTAGTTTAGCAGTAACGAAAACAAAAGTATGAAGAGCCAGACAGCATGGGTCAGAATCTGCTGGCGTCTACAGCCCTGAGCTCCAGCATGCTGCCTGTGTGCCAAGGCGATGGTCGTCAGACGCTGCTCTGTGGCTCTCAGCCTGTCCAGCCAGTGGTGTGCCCTCCAACCCATCAATGTCCGGCTGTGAGGCTGCGGTGACCGAGCATCTGAAATGAGTATCTTGGTGATTTGGTCCTTTGTGTTGGTGCGTTTAAGCCAGCCCCTTTAGCCTGGTGCCTGTCTCCTGTGGCCGTTAGGAACCGTCAGCGTGCCCTGGCCGAGTGCCGCTTGTCCGCGCCGGGCGGGTCTTAACCTTCTCTCCTAAACTCTCTGCTCTTTTCCCTCCCGCATGGTGGCTGGCGAAGGAGTCCGAGTCGGATCAGGAGCCGGAAGAAGAGGTAATTGTGTGACCCTGTCCCTTGTTAAGGGCTGTGTGGTTGCCTGACCCAATCAGAGCGCCGGTGACCTGTGTTCTCGGGCTGTGCCCACTGCCTGAGCCAGCGTGAGGACAGGCGCGCTTCTCTGGAAACGTTGCCCTGTCTTTGCCATAATGCTTATTTCTCTACCCGCCACTGGAGCCCACACCACTATCTGATGGTTCTCCAAGGCTGCTAGCAGGTGCCTGGGGTCGTTACTTGCCTCTAACCGGCAGGACCCCGCAGCTGCCAGGTGGTTTCCAGGGCTGCCTTACCTGAGATGCCACCTGCTGGGACACTCCGGGACGTGAGCTCTGCACACGTGTCCTCGGGTCCCAGCATTTCCGCAGCTTCATTCCTGTAACACGTGTGCCTTTCTCCGAGTCAGGCACTGACCACAGCTCCACAGGCTTCTTGGCTGTTGGTAAGAGTTAAAGGGGTCTTACGGCCAGAAAGTTTGAGAACCACTGAGACAGAACTAGGGTACGTGTAGCTGGCCCATCAGGTGATGACAATGCGGGGGCAGGCAGCTCCAAGCCCGTGGAGGAATAGCCGTGCCAGTCACACCTGCTCCTGCAGTTCCAGCTGGTGTGTGTGTCCCTTGTAGAAACGCTCCAGCGTTAACCATGGAAATGACAGGGACCACTGGGGCAGCCTTCCACTTACCGAGGAACATACGGGTCCTGTCTCTAAGACAAGTGCAGTTGTTAGTAGTTGCACATAAATGTTTTCAAATAAACTTATTTTATTTTTAATTTATTCTGATGGATTCAAAATGCAAAAATCGGAAGAAAAATGTAATACATGCCCTTGTCCCCACCCACTGAACATGTAAGGCCTTATCGGTCCAGAGAAGCCCTAAGTCCACTTTTGTCATGGACACTCTGGCTGCAGGCAGGGCGGGAGGGGGTATAGTCACAGACACACGGGAGCCTGTGGACAGACTGAGGTCTTTTCCCTCCACCATTCAGTCACTCCGTCTCCCATCCACATCCCTCCCGTGCCTCGTGACTCGGCCCCGGAGCTGGTGGGAGGAGGCTGCGCGCCTCTAGCCGAGCAGTGCAGTTAGGAGCCACCTAGCCATCCCCTGGTGCGCCTTCCCCACACTGGGCAGTTCCTTTGCTGTCTCAGGACCTGTAGGCGATCAGTGCATTCTGTCCATGAATTGTTCTGTGGCTTGTAATGAGTGACGGGCACTGTGTCCGTGGAACGTGCCACCTGGCGTGAGATTTGTGCTCCAGTAAGTGGACACATTGACTGCCTGTTTCCCTCTCTCCCTGGCCTTTTCCTGGTAAAAGTGCATTTCTGACTCACACGCACTGGGTCCCACCTTCCCTGGAAAAACGTGAGAGAGCGCTCCCCATCCACGGTATCTAGAAGAGATTAGTTCTTTCATAGCTTGGATAAGAATCATGGGAACTGTCATGAGGAAGTGCAGCCAAGGCTCCATGCCCAGTGCACGGGGTCCCCACACGCACGGGGTCCCCACAGGTGTGATTATGACGGAGCTCAGAGCTGAGGTGGGAGGGAGATGGGGAGAGACAAGACCATTGTAACCATTCAATTTATGTGTGTTTTCTTTCAGATTGATGTGACATCGGAAAAAAGTAAGACTTTTAAAAACTTAACTTTGTTTGAAAGCTGATTAAAGACATGCAAGCTAGTGGCTGTTACTAACACTGTAATCGTCATGTTTTATATTCTGAGTCATCATTAACATACATTTAGAAAAGCTCGGCCAGTTAAATGATAGAGACATCTAACTAGGACTTAATTAGCGGAGAAGCACTGTGATTCTCCACTTACGCGTCCATTCTCTGTGACACCCTGCTCCCCACTCCAACCGCTTGTTGGAGGCCCGCCCTGTCTGGCGCCCCCCCCCCCCCGTTACTGCGCCATCATCACCTCACCTGTACCCTCGACACAGCAGCACCACTCTGCCAGCCAGCACTGACCCCGAGAGCTCCTGATTCTGTGGCTGCACCTGCGAAAGTGATGCTGTCTCACAGCTCACCGCCGCCCTCCCCGCTTGCTCCCTCCTCTCCCCTCCCCACTGTGGTGAAGCAGCCGGACGCCGGCTGTAGGGCTGGGCCTGCGCTCTTGGGAGAGCTTTCCAGGAAAAGAGCCATGGGTTCAAACAGTGAACCTCCCGGGATTTCTGTCACAAAGCTGGGTTATGAGGGAGCTCTTTTCACACAAGGATGCGGGTCCCCAAACCACCCAGCGTGGAGAGAAGCGGTGTTCGGCCTGCGCCAGCGCTCACCGGAGCTGCGGCATACCAGCCTTATAGGTCGCCAGCCTGTTTCTGGCAATTTGAGTTTCTTGTGCGGAAGAACCTACATTTTTTAGTTTTTAGTTTTTTTGTTTTTTATTAAATATATTTTTATTGATTTCAGAGAGAAAGGGATAGGGAGAGAGAGAAACATCAATGATGAGAAAGAATCATTGATTGGTTCTGCGCACCCTACTGTAGATGGAGCCCACAGCCTGGGCATGTGCCCTGACCTCCTGGTTCATAGGTTGGCGCTCAACCACTGAGCCACGGTAGCTGGGCAATTTTTTAGGTTTTATTTATGTATTTATTTCTGCTTTTCTGCCTCATATGATTCAGAAGAAAATTTATTTTTTTAATGTTCACTCATTTTAAGATTTACTTTGATTAGCTTTATTTCGGGGTGGGGTTTCCAAGAGGAGAAAAGCTAGAGCCCTGCTAATGTGGTCATCTGGCCCCAGCAGTGCAAGTCAAACGGCTCTCTGAGCACACAGTGCACGTCACCGCTCACTTACAGACTGCTGTTCGTGAGTCTCCTCACCCTGTGCTAAATCAGTAGTTGGGTCTAGGACTTGAAACTCTGGATGTTTTCATTGGCTTATATTTGAGCAAATCTATATTGATACAAATTATTTTAATATCTTTTTATAAATGCATATTCACAGAGACTATCTCCTCAACAAATACTGATTTTTTTTTCAAAAGAAGGCACTTTTCATTTATTAAAAAGATGATAGGTTATGTTGCCTTCATTAATTTTTTGTTTTTTAAATAAATTTTTACTGATTTTAGAGAGCAAGAGAGAGGGAGAGAGAGACATCAGTGATGAGAGAGAACCACGGGTTGGCTGCCTCCTGCACACGCCCCACACTGGGGATCGAGCCCACAACCCGGGCGTGTGCCCTGACCAGGAATGGAACCGTGACCTCTTGGTTAATAGGTCGATGCTCAACCACTGAGCCACGCGAGCCAGGCAGTTTCCTTTTTAAAGAGATTTCATTTTGCTCTCCCACTTTCCTATTCAGAACCACTGTGTTCATTTAAATGGACAGTTTGTTTCTTGGACACAAACTTGGGGATTAAAATTGAAGCCAAGCATTGGGCTTAATTGTGATGAAGAAAAGCTACCACGTTCTGTAAAGCCTGTGGCCTTCCCCAGCCCCTTCAGTGTTGTAACTGTTTTAAGTTTTCAAATACAGACTGATGTTTGGTTATATTTTAGTTTAAAAATGGTTATTAAATAACAGGCCCCTGGGTATAAAGTAGTGTCCCTGGGAGGTGCAGAGGAGGGGCCATCCTTGGTCATCCCTGAGCAGGCCCGGAGGGCTCTCCCTGCTGGGCCCCTCCAGCAGCAAGTGCTTGAGTGGCGGGGTGACGGAGCTTCCCACAGTCGGTCCAGCTGTCTGTCTGTCCTGACCACCTCCTGCCTGCCTCTGCTCTTCCCGGCCTCCGCTTTGCATGGAAATAACTTGGCTTACACAGCTGTGCGTGTCCGTGTGCGTGTCTCCGACTGGGGTTGCTATGCATCACGTTTTAACTATGGACTCACACAGATGTTTCCTCACCATGGTGGTTTTTGTGGTTTTTCTTTCTTTTCCTTTCTTCCCCTCCTTGGTCTGTCCTGTAAGTGTCTGAACAAGGAGGCGGCTCTGAGGACGGGCCGGGCCTCTCACCCAGACCGTGTCTCACTGTTAGGTGTGCATTTCCTTAGCCGAAAAGCCGGTTTGCAGCGGATGCAGAGACTCGGGGTGTAGTCATTGTGTGGCCGAACGGAGCCGGTTCCAGATGCGTGCGTTCAGAGGCGCACCCTGAGTTTTCTACCAGCTGGCTTTCTGCCAGAGGAAATGAACTTTGCAGTTCCTGATGCTGCTTCCCTTCCTCCTGTTTATTTTTCTTTCCACATCCGTCTGTGCCGTCTGAACAATCTTGAGATGCCTCCGTGTGCTGTCCCCACCGTCTCTGTGTTGGTCTGTGACGCCGGTGGCGCGTGCCGATGGCTGGTTTCAGCCTGATGTACGTGTGGCTGTGCTGCGAGTGCGGAGTGAAGCAAGTTATTTCCTGCTCGTTTCCTTTCAGTCCCCTGAGCCTCGCTTTGCTTTGTCTCCTGAGGCCTCGTGGATCCGCCACCCCGCCCATTTTCCTGTCCCTCCCACCACGCCAGGAAGACCCCGTGTCCTTGGTCCTGGTTACATTTGCCAATTTCTTTTCTGATTTCCATTTTACTCCCAATGCTTTCCATGCATATCCAAGACGATGAGACAGAGTCGACAGAAACATCTGTCCTGAAAAGCCAGCTGGTCACTGAGGCCCCAGCCCTGGCGAGCCCGGACCTGCTCTCGGACGTCTCTGAGATGAAGCAGGGCCTGCTGAAGATGAGCGCCCTGCTGACCACAGACGCGGCCGACAGGGCGGGGCCGCTCAGGGACAAGGAGCCGGCTGGGCCCGCCCCAGAGGAGCCGGGGGAGCCCTTTGAAATTGTGGAGAAAGTGAAGGAGGACTTAGAGAAGGTGAACGAGATCCTGAGGGGGGGGTGCTCAGAGGGGCAAGGCCGTGAGCTGGGGCCCCAGCCGGAGAGGGAGCTACTGGACGAGGAGTGGGTAGTTGTCAGCGACGAGGAGATAGCGGAGGCCAAACAGAGGGCACCCCTGGAGGTCCCCGAGGTCCCCTGTGTAGAAGTTAGACTAGCCAGGGAGACCCCAGGTCAGGGCCAGAAGGATGCCACGGGGCTGGTAAACTACCTCATTGAGGACCTGAGGTCCTACCCGGCCTCTCCTGAAGGGGCCCCGCAGCCAGGGCGCCCCGCGGCCGGGGACCGGCACGCTAGAAGCCAAGGGAAGGCTGCTCCCCGAGATGGGACGCAGAGGATGCAGAAGGAGCACAAGCCGGGCCTGGGCGTGAAGAAGCCAGCGCGAAGGAAGCTGACAGAAAGCCTGAAGCAGAGAGAGGAGGGCTCGCAGGCCGGCACAGGGAAGCCGGGGCTGGGGAAGGGCAGTTCAGAGGAATCCGTGGAGGAGGACGCGGAGTTAGCTCCGGAGCCGCTGCCCACGGGAAAGGCCACGTCTCCGTTGGTGGAAGAGACGCCCATCGGCTCCATCAAGGACAAAGTGAAGGCCCTTCAGAAGAGGGTGGAAGATGAGCAGAAAGGCCGAAGCAAGTTGCCCGTCAGAGTCAAGGGCAGAGAAGAGGTGCCCCGGAGGGCCAGCCCCAGGCTGCCACCAGCCGCCTCGCCCCCTCTGAAATCCGACAGGCGGGCACCCGCTCCCCCGTCCTCCAAGGCAGACAGACACTCTTCCCTCGCCGCCTCCGCCAAGTCTGACCGGCATCCGCCCACATCACCACCGAATAAGACAGACAGACACTCGCCCGGGTCTCCCTCAATGAAAACCGACAGACACTCGCCCGGGTCTCCCTCAACGAAAACCGACAGACACTCGCCCACCTCTTCCGCATCGAAAACCGACAGGCACTCCCCTGCATCCTTGTCAGGTAAAAATGGGAAACGCTCACCGGTGTCACCTTCAGGGAGGACAGACAGACACCCTCCTGTGTCACCATCGGGACGGACGGATAAGCATCCGCCCGCATCTCCTGGGAGGACAGACAAGCACCTGCCCGTGTCTCCAGCCGCCAGAACGGAAAAGCACCCGCCAGCGCCAGCCCCTGGGAGGGCTGAGAAGCGCCTCTCGGCGTCCCCGGCTGGGAAAGCAGAAAAGGCAGCCCCCGTGTCCCCCACCTCGAGGACCGAGCGCATCGAGGAGACCATGTCGGTCCGGGAGCTGATGAGGGCCTTTCAGTCGGGGCAGGACCCGTCCAAACACAAGGCTGGACTCTTTGAGCACAGATCCCCCAAACCAAAGCAGCCGCAGGAAAAGGGCAGGGCCCGGGCAGAGAAAGAAAAGGGGCCAGTGCCAGCCCAGAGAGAGACCCAGAAAAGCGAGAGTCCGCCCACCCAGCCAGGCCAGAAGTTCCCGGGAGCTGTGGCCACAGGCATCTCGGGGCCGAGAGAGGACGCCACCGGAGGGAAGGAGCTGGTGTCTGGCCACAGGGTGCCGCCACCTGTGGGGCAGGCCCTCGGGGAGGAGCTGGACGAGCGGAGCAATGGGGACCCCCAGATCAGCCCCGACCGCCGAACCTCCACCGACTTCTCGGAGGTGATTAAGCAGGAGCTGGAGGACAATGCCCGGTACCAGCAGTTCTGCCACCGGGAGGAGCCGGAGCCGGCGGAGGCGCAGCTGGTCCCGGAGCAGGTGCTCACCAGCCCCTTCCCCAGGGCCTTCCAGCCGGAGCCGGAGAGCGGGGAACTGCTCCCGGGCCTGGCCTTCCGCCTGGACGGCA